ACCACCACGCCCAACTTATGTGGTGCTGTAGATGAAACTGGGACTCATACATGTTAAGTGAATAATAGTAGTTCTTGTTAATAGGCCTTCGTAGCCTCCTGGGTCCCCAGAATCTATACAACAAACACAGCTCTTGCTTACACTGAACATTTCTGCCGTAGAAATGTGAGATTTCTATATGTAAGAGACATTCTGCCAACCAGGCCCACACAGACCCCATCGAGGGCTAAATGTCTGTTCTGCCACAGATGTAAATTGTAACTAGTTCCATGTGGCAGGCAACCTTGCAAATGTACGAAGTAAGGAACACTGCCTCCCTCCCGATGAGTAGAAACTGGGCCACCTCTGAAGTGTGAATGACTGATTAAACTGTGACCAGCAAGACTCTTGAAAGACCAAACAGCAAGCTCTGTGAGACCCTGACAACAGTCTGCCCACCCTGAGACTGCCTGTGTGGCAGTCAGCTTTTCCTTACTTTAAATAAACTCCCAAGAAAATCGGTTATGAAGAGAGGATTTGGAAGACTCAGCCCATGACTGATGACCTCAGACATTTCCAGGCCTGTGGTTTCCAGAACTTCATGACAGGGGGGCAAAAGCTCACCTCATGACTAGGAAGTGGAAAGTGGATGGTAGAGCCTAGGTGGTAGGCACTCTGCCCTCCAAGGGCATGCTCCCAGCCACCTAACTTCCTCATGCTAAGCCCATTACTAAGATTCTACCACCTTCCAACAGTGCTGAGATGGGGAGCTGGACTCTGAGATGTGGGCCTTTGTGCTGCAAGTGCTGCAGGGTACCACTAATATACTAATAAAAGTGCCTGGGGTTTTATTACAGAATAAATTACTTGGGCCTCAGAATGTGTTGCTGAGAAACAGGGACCAGTTGGGAGAACCTCCAAAAAAGAACAACTCTGATTGATGTTAGTGTTTTCTGAGAAAGAAGCAAGCAGCTAGCAAAATGGATGAGTATTGGGAACTCCCAAAAGGGAACCCCTCCCATCATGGCAATCTGAGAGACTCCAGTGTGAAGCTTTGCCTTTTATCAATGGTCTTCCTTTAGCCTCCTGAACCACACCATAAAAGCTGATGGTCCCAAAATGCTTCTTGACTAATGCAACAGTTCTGTAGTCTACTATTGTGAGCTGTGAGACTGTGAGACTGTGAGACTGCAAGTTCCAGCAACAACCACCCAGTAGCTGAGATCCCCAGTGACCCCAAGAGAGGGCTCAGGAGTCGACAATTAAACCCTTCCTGTTCGTCTTCAGAGGCCAACTGGGGATGGGAATATCTCTCCATGCATCTGTTTTTCTTAAATCCATATTTGATTCTGTTTTTCAAAGCACTCAGCACAGTTATACAAATGACTTGTGTCATTTTCAGGAAAATTGATGAAGCAGAGATCATCCGGTCAAGTGAAAGAAGCCAGAGTTAAATATCAAATCCCACATGTTTTCTCTCCTATGAGCCTTTTTATTTATTTTTACACAGGGTCTTACATTGTAACCCAGGCTAGCCTCCAACTTAGGCCAATCCTCCCTGCCTCTACCTCCCAAGTGCTTAGAATACAATGTGGGCCACTATACCTGGCTTGGGAATCTAGGTTTAGATAGACAGACAGACAGACAGGAACTAAGCAGGGGAGAGTAGGTCTGAAAGGAGGGGGTACAAAATAGGGGACTGGCACAAAGGAAATATAAGTGTCATGTTTTCCCTCATGTGTTGAATCTAGACTTAATAATATACATACTCTATATAAGATATGAGTAGAAAGAGACCATCTTGGAGGAATGAGCAACTCATGAAAAGGAGAGGGGTCGAACCAAGGAGGAGTAATAGGAGGCTAATGTGAGCAAACAAATTATACACATGTGAAAATGCTATAATGAGACATCATTCTGACTAACTTAAAAAATTAATAAAATAATATAAAAATGACTCAATGTATTAATTGCCACCATATTGTGATTGCTTCCCAAAGTTTTGTATATGTCCTTACTCTTGTTTTCATTGATTGGGCCAGGCAATAACTCACTTTTAAGTTTTGCTTTCTATTTGGTATTTATGCCACCACCCTCTACACTAGAGCACCCATGCACCCAAATGCTCAAGCATCCATGCAGCCATACTCCAATGCACCCATGTCCTAACAATGCACCCAGGCACCCGATACCCAAGCATCCATTCACCCATGTACCTACCCATGCATCCATGCACCCAAATGCTCAAGCATCCATGCACCCATATATCCATGCATCCATGTACCTACCCATGCACCCAGGCACCCATGCACCCATGCATCCAGGCACCCAAATGCCCAAGCATCCATGCAATCATGCACACAAGGATTTCTGCACATATGTGCAAACTTCTAAATTCCTGTCACACCTTGCTCAGTGTCCTAACTTAACACTTTCTTCTTTGCTTTCTAATTTTTGCCTACTTTCCTTGGTTCTTCTGATCATTTTTAGAAGCCTGCTTGAGCATAAGTAACTCATTTTAATCTTATTTAAATAATGAGAGGCTTGCAGCTATGAGTTTCTCTTGGGGTATACCCCAGCAATGCCTCACAGACTCTGGTCTTAATGTTCCAGTTATCACTGTATTCACTGAATTCTTAATTTCAGAGTCAATTCTCTATACATTTCAAGACTGGTCTGGGAATTTTTTTTTAATTCCCAACTTTTATTGTTAATTTTTAATTTCATTGAACTATGGTCTCAGAATCTTGTTTCAAAGGCTTTTTCATTTTTTGAAACCTCACTAGCTAGTGCTGTAATTTAAGAAAAGCAGTGCAAGAAAGAAAGAATCCATACGATGACAGGGTTCGAGCAGAGGGCTTTGTTTGTTTGTTTGTTTGTTTGTTTTGGTTTTTAATTAGGGAAAGGGATCATAATAAGGGGAAAGGGAAAGGGAGAGACTGGCCTCCATTGACAGGAGCATCAGGAGAGAGGAGGAAGGAAAGAGGGGGAGAGAGAGGGAGGGAGGGGAACAGACAGAGAGAGGGAGAGAGCAAGAGTGTGTATGTGTGTGTGTGTGTGTGTGAGAGAGAGAGAGAGAGAGAGAGAAGAGAGAGAGAGAGAGAGAGAGGATGAGAGGTGGGCAGGGTCCTTTTAAAAGGGAACATCGTGAATATGCCCAGGTGGTGCTCTTAGTGGCTGCAGCTGAGGGTGTATCCTGTCAGAACCCCAAGGACAGGACAGTACAGATGCCTGAATACTAACAGCTAGCCCAGGCACAATTTCCTCCTGCCCAGAACTGGAATTACAGGCATGTATCACCACACTCAGCTAAGACATTTTCGAATTACAGGCATGTATCACATCACTCAGCTGAGACATTTTCTTCTGTCAAGATGATCAGTCTTGCAATGCTTCGTGCATATTTGAAAATAAATATTCTCAGGAAGAGTGTGTGTCCACATGCACACATATCCTTTCTTTTTCAATGTAGATAGATCAGTAGGTGATGGCAATTTCATGAACTGTTAATTCTCAGGACAATGTTAAGAGTTCTGGCTTTGTCTGGCAGTGGTGGCACACACCTTTATTTCTAGCATGGGAGGCAGAGGCAGATGGATCTTTGTGAGTTTGAGGTCAGCCTTGTCTACAGAGTTCCAGGACAGAAACAGACAAAGAAACCCTTGTCTCAAAACAAAAACAACAAAACCAACCCCCCCACACACACACCAAAAAAAAAGAGTTCTGAAGTAGAGCAAACTTGGGTTCAACCCTTGCCACATAAAAACATATTGGCCCAAGTATCCTGAGTATATAGCACCCAAAGAATGCCCTTCCATAGAAAGGGTTTTGATCTCTGTATACATTTCTATACAGTTTTTAATAGAGCCCAATGAGTCTGCAGCAATTCCAATACAATCTCCTATCCTCTTGTACTCTCTAATGTCCCTCACCCGAGGGTGTGCTCTTGATCTGGGCTCTAGTGTAAGAGTCTAGCTCTTGTGCTTCTTGCCTTTTTCTCTTCAGAGAAGAGTGCGAGCAGCTACCACAAAGAGGGCAGTGATAACTTCTCCATGTGAATGAAAGTCATCACAGCTACTTGAGTATCTCATTTGCCTGTCCAGCAGATGCCAAACCTCCCATCTGCAGCACCCACATCAACCATCTAACTTCTCTGTACTGACAGGATTTGCTCAGAAGGTTCCACAGCTGTTGGTGAGCTTGGGCCAACCCAGTTCCCTGCTTGTCAATCCTGAGCTGTTCTGGAATTTCCCATTTTGTAATAGTTTCTTTTAATGCACTCTTTCATTTTCTTTCCCAAAATTTCTCAGTTCAACTCACTTGGATTCTTGAATTTTTCCTCTTTCTTTTTTCTAGATTCTGCTGGTTATCTGCCTTCCAACCACTCATACACTGTCATCCCTCCACATTGCTTCATAAAGAAATTAATCTAGACATCCTTAAGCATCTAGAACTCCACAAAACACAGGTGTCCTTCAGACCACAGGAAACTCTACCCAATACCAACATTGGAAAGAGGTGTCCAAAGGAAAAGGAGACTGCCAAACACAAATAGATAGCCCTCCTGGGTCTTAACACAGAAATGGCAAGATGTGGATCTAGCCCAGTCATCCTGTGTAATTTTAGAAACAAATTAAAAACAAAAAAAAAAAAAAAAAAACAAGTTTTGAAACAAGGTTTCACGTAGCCCAGGCTGGCCTTGAACTCAATATGTAGCCAAGGATGACCTTGAACTCCTGGTTCTCCAGCCTCCATTCCCTGTGTTGGGGTTTCAGGAATGCACTGCCAGGTCTGGCTTTTAGTGCTGGGATGGAATGCAGGGCTTCACGAATCTAGGCAAGCAGGTTACCTACTGAACTACATCACCAATCTCCGGGAAATGGATATTGGCTTGAAATATCCTGTGGGTAGTACAGACCAATCAGGTAGTGGGAGACTGGGTGGCTGGGTGGAGTTCCTCACCAGCCCTGGAGGCCCAGAGTGAAGGGCCCCTCTCAAGTTGCTGAGAGAAGGAGAGGTTTGTGAGCACTGTAGCTTGTCTGCTTCCTGTTTCATCAGGCTGCTGTGCAAAAAAGAATGTGGGCACAGAGGAGACTGGCGAGGGGGCTCAGAACATCTGATTGACCCCTTCCCTGGCCATCTGAGACCAGAGAGACCTGGAAAGGACTAACAGCTCTCCTGAGACAGGATCTGGGACCCAAGGTAATGGTGGAGGAAAATGCTTTGGGATCTAGGTTTGGGTCTGTTGACTTTGGGGTGGGGCCTCCTGCATAGCAGCAGGTGGTAGGATTTGAGTGCTGGGACTTGTGTGACCAAGAAATCATCCTGTGTTGGATATCTTGGGCAGCCACAAGGATACAGCTACCAACTCTGCTCCACCTTTTAGCTTGGATTAGGTGAGAGTCACATAACTTGGTTTGGGGGTGCTCAGCAGCATCCATGCTAAGAATTAAATGACCTTTCCCAGATCATTTTAAAGTGGGGATCCCTGTAACAGGACCTTCTCCTTTAGCTCTCACTGAGAAACCTGGACTAGAAAGGCCATATCCATGCAGGACACTATCCATCATTTCTTCTGTGTACACAGCCAGGAGATAGGAGCGAAGGTTTGGAAAGGCATCAACTAGCCTGTAGGTGAAGGACAGTACCTTCTACCTGTGCAGGGAGGAAAGCCTACTCTAGACAGTACCATCATTTCCTCCAAAGCTCTAACTGGACCCTCTCATGTGGCCAAGGGGTACCTTAGAGACTCTAGAAAACCTGGGCAGTGGCCTTGTGACCTCTCTCTGAACTACAGGACCAGTTCCTTTTTTTTTTTTTTTTTTTTTTTTTTTTTCCAGCAACCTGTCCCCGTTGAAGTCAGCCAGTATGATCACACCATTCCAGAAGGCTATATGGTTCCACATTAGTGTCATATCAAATCCCACTATGTGGGGGGCAGGGACTGTGGGTATAGGAAAATCCTCTCTCTAGGAAGTCATTCCTACTGCATCTTCCCTCTTGGTGTTAAGTCCTAATGATGCATACAATAAAGCTGTCAATATTTCAGTAGACCTGCAAACAAGCTAGAAGGCGAGCAGAAAGAGACATTGACACAGGCCTGCCTCAGTCCTACACCCATTCCCTCATCCTATCCAGAGGGCAGCAGGATCCTCAACCCAGTATAAAACCTATATGTAACCAGGGCCCAACAGGGAGGAAAGTAATCCCTCACACTCATAATGTCATGCTAATTCTTCGCCCACCTGTTCCTTGCCTTCCTGTCTGACCTAGTTGAGTTGAGGATTATGTCCAGCCCACAGAGAAGTGCTTTGTCCTTGTAACCCAACCTCAGAGGCCACAGGAACCAGAGTAGTAAAAATTATTCCAAGATGGAGCTACAAGCCCTGTTCAGGACTGAGAGAAGGAATTGGGGGAATCAGAGGGTGATGTTGAGCATGCTCAGTCCCAGAGCCTGGCTTTGCCTGGAGCATTTGAGTCCAATACTCAGTCTTCAGCACCACCAAGAATAAGTATGATATTTTACATCTATTACTTTTAAAAGTTGTTTTTTACCATATACCATGTGCTAGGTGTATGGTGTGGATGTTATCGTTTAATACTCATATCCCTTCAAGAGAAGTTTTAGCCCTGTTTCATAAGTGAAAACCATGAGACTTAGCAACACTTAACAGTTTCCTCCTCTGTTTGGTAGGCAATGAAAGCCTGGAAGTGAGTCACAGTCTGGTCCCAAAGCAAGAGTTCCCCTCCTCCAGTCAAGACAGAATAGCCAGGTGCTGTGGCTTTGAGGTGTGTGTATGTGATCCCAAGTGCCATCCATCCATCCATTTATCACAGAACATTCACTGAGGTGCATGTGTGTGATGTCAAGTCTCATCAATCCATCTATTCATCCATACATCCCAGGACATGTGTAAGCCTTTTGGCTCCTTTTCTGCATAATTAGATAAACAGAATGACATGTGGGGAAGTCTAGGGACCTCCATCCAAAGAGTAAGAGTGAGGAGAAAGGTCTAAAGGAAGGCACTGGGATGATACCAAGAGACCAGGCACTACCTCCTTGAGGTCTCTCTTCATCCTCAAGAGTCAGATAACCAAAAGCATACAGGACTTAGCCACATAAGAGCCCTTCAGAGAGTGAGACTATCCACCCATAGGCTTGTAAATGAGGACAGTGACCAGAGATAGAGCAGAAGCCCTGTACAGAATTCTATGGTGTGCCAGGATAGGCATTGAAGTCCCAGCAAAGAAGCATGGGGCCTCTGCCTGTGGAGTCTGTGCAGCCAATAAACAATCCTCAGGGGTCAGAGCCAGCTAGCTCCTGTTAGTCGCTGAGTCTGGGACACTTCCTATGACCACCCAGGAACTGAATTCCTGGGCAGTCAGTTGGTTGAGCGGATAATAGAGAAGAACTGGTGCAGAGGACTTTCCTTGTCACCCCAGTCTGGTTCCAGAGGGCAGAGGAGGCAGGGCATAACTTCTGATGCTAGGATGTATCCCATCTGAATTCATCCCTGACTTCACCAGGCTGCCAGAGCCCAAACTGAGAGTGGCCAAATCCACAACAGTTAGGTGAAGATAAGGATTTGGGTACTATATGAATGGTAGGTAATGCTATCTAGCCTGGCACCAAAGGTGGCCTATCCTAAAGAATGTTCCTTAGGGACTTTGCATTACAGGTTTCTCTTGTCATGTTTGTTTGTTTTGATTTTGGTTTGGTTTGGTTTGGTTTTCTGAAACAGGCTTTGGAGGCTGTCCTAGAACCAGCTCTTACAGACCAGGCTGGCTTCAAACTCACAGAGACCCACCTGCCTCTGCCTTCCAAGTGCTGACATTACAGGTGTGTGCCACCACCGTGTGGCTCCTTGTCCTGTTTCTTAGGGTCTTTCTTTGTAGGACTCCTGTTGAAAGTACTCCGAATGCACGCTAGTTTAGACAGCAGCTTTGGAAACAGACTGAGCCTGGCAGGAAGGTCGTCCTGAAAGGATAGAGCCCTCCTCTTGGAGTCACTGAGCCAGGGTCTCTGAAATGGACCAACACTGAGCATTTTTGAAGACTCTCAGCCAATAGACTGACTTAATCAACAGCTAAAGTCATAGCCTCGTCCTAGATACATAATAGATAGAGAGTTCAGGATGTGGTGATGGAGGAATTCGGGCAGATCTCCCTAAGTCATGCCAGTCCAGAGCCACAAGAGGACTGCTGAGAACTAGGAATGGGTCAGAGGATGCCAGTCACAAACCGGGTCACTTCCTCAAGGGTTGTGACTATCCTCCTAGGTCTCAAGAAATGCCACTTAGCTATTTTAGTACTAGTGTGGGCAAGAGAACAGTAAAGATGAAAATGTCTTTCATTTTAGACTAGAGGATAAAGTCGGCTGGGGTGTCCACAGCTCTATGAGACACTATTATGATGATTATTGTTTGTCCCTTGCAGCCCCTCATTAGAGGTATCTATCTGATAAGGAAGAAGGGGCTCTGCCCACTCTAGGGACTAGCACCAAAGAAAAGCAGAAACCTGGCCTTGCCGGATTCCATCATTTCAGGCAGGGTTCAGCCCAGAAGTCCTAACCCTTGGTTCTCAACACTCATGGATGGAAGAGCCCTGTGCTATTTCTGCCCCGACCGTTGGAGACAGATTGTCAATTTTGGGCCCATCTTCTGACTCCTCCCTCTTGGCATCTGGCAGATCCAGGCAGCTGTTCGGGGAACAAGAAGCCAAGCACAACAGGTGCTCAGGAGGCCACCATGATCAACTCGGACCCCAAGGCCTCCCCTGGCTTGGCTCGGTGGGCCGAGAGCTATGAAGCCAAGTGTGAACGACGTCAGGAGAGCCGAGAAAGCCGCCGCTGCCGCCACAATGAGACCACTTGCCGCCAGCCAGGGAAGGCGCTGGGGAACCAGCACAAGGAGCAGCTTCAGAGAGCTCGGCAGCTCCAGTTCCTCAGAAGGAGGAACCTGGAAGACGAGAAGAGAGGCCAGGCCAGGGAGCAAGGGCCCTCCCACAAGACAAAAGGAGGGACAGGCCAGGTGACGGTCCTCAAGGAGTCCTTGCCTGGTGCCAACAAGACCTCTTTCCCTGGACAGCAGGTGGGATATGTCCAAGAAAACACTGCTCCAGACCCAGGGGTGGAAGGTCTGAGAAGCCCCTTCCTCGGCGATGCAATCGAGTTTCTATTACCTGTCAACCATCACTCTTTAGAGATTATGTTGTGTCTTTAACTTCTTTTGAAATGGAGGGTGGGACCCCCACAGGTCCTCCTGCCTATTAGGAGAACAGAAATAATTGTACAAACAATTCCAAGCCAATAGCTAGTATAAGATTTTTTTTTTCTGAGATAGGGCCTTGTTATATAATTCAAGATGGCTTCAAACTCATGACCCTCCTGTCTCCCCTTCCTGAGTTCTGGGGTTAAAAAGAGCAGACTGACTTGTGACCGCCATCACTCCATCCTGCCAACAGGTCCCTACTCTGTCTTCTTTTGACAAGAAACCTCAGTGGTTCTGTGGCTCAAAGGAGAGGTAGGCAGTCCCTCTAGGCCCTCACTGATTGGCAAGAGCCCGATGCCCAGAAAAGGCCAAGATCTGACCCCTGTCCCTGAGGATGGAACCCAGGGCCTTGTATGTGCCCAGCAAGCCAGCTAGCATTGAGCTACAGTGCCAGCCTCAGGTTCTTCTCTCTATAGTTGTCTGGGAGACTTAAGAGGCCCTTCAGAGTGGCATTCAGCGGCCTTCATTTGCTTTCCAGGCAACAGGGACCAGCTCTGCTGTTTTCCCGACCCTGCATCTCTCCCCATCAAGCATCCAGGGAGACTCAGATGGCCTCCATCCCTCACACGTGACAGCCTTTCCACCACCAAGGGACTATGCCATCAAGAAGCCACACAGACAGCACCGGGGTGAGAGCGTAGGCCTGACCTGCCATGGCATCCCAGCTCTCCCGCTGCCCCCATCATTCTCCCTCCTTCCCTGCATGCTGAATCACCCTATCTATCTCTCAGGTACTCAGACCAAGGCAGAAGAGACACAGCCAACAGTAAAGAATGATGCCAGCCAGCAAACCAAGTGAGTTCCCTCGTATTCCTGGGCCCCGGTGTCCCACGTCTCATCCTTCCCTCTCCTCCACATGTTTATTGGGAACACCTCCACTGGACACCTCAGCTGAGGAGGAGGAAGCCCCTCCCCACCCCTGCTGCGCTTCTGCAGAGATGACAGGTGCAGCTAACACCTGCTCAAAGGTTTCATTTTTTTGGCCCACTATCATGTTTTCCTTCTCTTCCCAGCTGTGGAGTTGCTGTCCTAGACAAGGTAAGGGAACCCTCGTTTGGAGGGGGTTGGGTCAGGTGGCACCTAAGCTCTAGCATTCTGGGGTCTCATGATAAACTCAGGCTGGGGGTGGGAGGGCACCTTCCAGGATGGCCAGGTGGTCCTGACCCTGACAGATCCAAGGCAAAAGAGATCTGCCGCATGTAGGCCAGCCAGGACTCACCAGCTCTCTGCTGAAGTCCTCCTGAACCTCTTTCATCTCTCCCTCTCTCTAGGACATCATCCAGCTCTCCGAGTACCTCAAAGTAAGTACCACAGTGTTGCCCACACGCAGATTCCCACATACTCTTTCTCCGGGTTAATCTTTCCCTTTACATTTTCCCTTCTAGGAAGCCCTACAAAGAGAGCTCATCCTCAAGCAGAAAATGTTGATTCTCCAGGACATGCTGCCTGCCCTAACCCGGGCCTCTGACAGCTTTTGGAAGGTAGGAGTAAAACCTTCAGATGAGGTGTGCAGACTTCTGTGTAGGCTCACCTCGTTTCTCTTAGCATACCATCCAGCAAGGGAAGGGCTGTCTCACTGGAAAGAGGGAAAGGTGGGGGTGCTCAGATGTGGAGGCCAAGGGGGGAAGACCGAGGACCAAAAGCAGACAGGAGGCCTGCTTTTAAACCTTGAGGAGAGAAGAAAGGAAGGCCCTGTCCAGTGTTGTTACTGAGTGTTGTCAAGGCAATGACTTTCACATGGGATTCTATATTAGTCACGTTCTCATTGCTGCACCAAAATACCCAGCACAAGGAACTTTTAAGAAGGGGCTTATTTTGTTTATGGTTCCAGAGTACAGCCCATCACGGTGAGGGTGGGGGAAGGGGTCATGGCAGCAGGACTGAGGCAACTGGTCACACAGTATCCACATACAAGAAGCCAAGTGAGAAAGGCTGGTGTTTAGCTGGCTCCCTGCCTGTCCCCTGCGCCCCCAGCTGGGAGTCCCAGCTGGTGGAATGGCACTGCCCCATTCACTCCAGGTGGGTCTAACCTCTCCTGCAATCTAGAAACTCCTTTGCAGACATAGCCAGGGGTTGTCTTCAATATGAGTCTAAATGTCATCAAGCAGACAATCAAACTTAACCACCACCGATCCATATCAAGACTCACACAAGTCAGCCTGAACAATACTCCACCTAGAGAGGACTTAATGGTGATGTAGTTGATTTTCTGTCTGCTGTGATGGACTAAGGCCTTGCCCATAGTCACATAACTACTTAGCAAAGGCCAGGTCTCTAATATCAGTCTGTTCATCATCTAAATAGCCAAAGGCCATGCTCCTGCTACCACGCCCTGCAGATTTGTTCTTTAAGTAGACATCTGCACTTAAAAACAAAACAAAACAAAACAAAAAATCATCCCATCATGTATCCCTGTATGCCCTAGAACTCTATATAAACCAGGCTGGACTTGAACTCACAGAGTGCACCTGCCTCTGCTTTTGCCTCCCAAATTCTGGGATCAAAGGCATGTGCTGCCATACCTGGCTCAAGCTCCTGCTTTTTAGAGAGTTCATAGTCTTGCAAACAAGACACATGCCGAAATAAAACAGGCATAAGAAATAAAAAAAAAAAAAATGCTTCCAGGGTGGAGTGGGCTACAGGAGAGAGCGAACAGCTCCAGAGAGAGGAGCTAGAGGAACATGGACAGTGGCAAATGAGGACATAAGGGCAGTGTCTCCATCGGCAAGAGCCAGAGCAGGGCCTGGTTTGGTACAGTGGCTCTCTGACTTTTTTATCTCAGGATTCTTTATATTAATGTTTAATAGAGTAATTAATATTTCCCTAGACCAATCACATTTCCCCTCCCTTCCTCTTCCCCCCCATTTCTTCCCCCCAACCTCCCCTCTCCATCCCCCCATCCACTCTTCCTCTTTTCTCTTCAGAAAAGGGCAGGCCTCCCATGGATATCGGCCAGCTGTGGCATATCAAGTTTCAGAAAGACTGGGTACCTCCCTATTAAGTCTAGATGAAGCAAGCCATCTTTAAACTAAATTTCAACTAAAAGTTCCAAAGAACTCTGGTGTGTACCATATTAGGATTTACCATGGTAAAAATTAAAACAGGAATTTAGTAATATTAATTTAGAAATAACAAGTCATGCATCATGTGCTAACTTACATATTTTAATGAAAAACTTTGTTTTCAAAAGGGAAAAAAAATAGAGATGTGGCATGGCTGTACCTTTTCAATATCTAGCTAAACAGAGGACAGCTAAACTCTACTTGCTTCTAAACTCCGCCTATTGTGACCACTCTCTTAGTGGAAGCATTGAAAGCAAGAGCCTGTGTCATAGAGGGGTGGGCTGGAAGGGGAAAGGCCTTGCGGGTCCCTTCAAAGGGTCTCTAGGATCTCATGGGCTCGGCAGATGATAAGCAGGTTGGTGCCATCAAAGCCTAAGGCAGCAGGGTGTACTGAACTTCATAGGTCTCGGCACATCTCATGGTAGGAAGGCATATGCTTAAAGAAGTGAAGGGAGGGGGCATATAAGACACTCCTAGAAGTTTGCAGTGATGCAAAAGACCAGCACTCCCACCTGGCAAGCCAAGGCATTAGCCAGTGAATCTGGATTCGGGAGTCTCTCTGATAAAGCCTCTCTGCTTGCCAAGTCATGGCCACTGGCAGAGCCGGGGCCTGAGTCCCGAGCTGGGCATGTCAGGTAGTTTCCAGTACTGAGCTACACTGAGATCATCTCACCCATTTGTTCATAAGTGATTCTACCTGAGGTAGAGTACAGAAGGCTCTGTGGAAAGAGGTCATTTTGGCTGGGTCTTAAAGGATGAGGAGAGGCTCTCCAGATCAGAAGCAGCTTTACAATGGGGGGGGGGGGCAGAAAAGTGTTTAAGGAATTAGGATGTTTACTGCCCTAATTGTGGCAAAGCATTGGGTGTGGCCCAGTGTGATGGACAGGAAAGGATCCTATCTGCACAGTGTCAAAGAAAGACACTTTCTCACACCTTCAGAAGAGGAAACTTGAACCTTCTCTGTCAAGGTTTGTTTCAGATTTAATGCAGGACTCCTTTTTAAAGGAAAAACCACAAAAACACACTTACATACGTATTTGTATACATGTATGCATGTGTGTCAGGGAAAACATCTTGTATTGGAGGAGCCATGAGATTGCACGCCATCCCCAGGTTGAGAAACATGGTCACAGGCAGGAAGTGGGGCGGAAGTTAACACTCAGAATTGAAGTCCTGTGTTCTGAAATGCCTGCCTTTCTTTAGAAGAGCTTTGTCTCTACAAAACTCAGCCAAAAGGAGGGATCTGGTCTGTGTTCATAGCTTCTACAAGCAATGCCCAACTCTGAGTGAGGATGGGGCCCTACAGAAGCCTAGAGGGGCCTAGGCCAGCTGTGCTTGGTGGGAATGAGGCAGAGCCATTAAGAGCCACTTATGTAGCACTCAGGAATCTGAGGAAGAAGGATTCCAAACTTCGGGCCAGCCTCAGCTACATGTTGAGACTGTTTCTTGTTATTGTTTTAAAGCCATTTCTACCATAAACTTGGGGAGGAGGTGTTGTTTTACCCCAGGCTCCAGAGGAAGAGCTGAGGTTCTTCTGGCTGTCATTTCCGCTCTCCCACCTTTCTATTCTTCCCAGGTCTGACATTCACACTTCTCTTCTTCCTCCCACTCCAAGCCCCCCAGCTTCCTGTGTTTAAGAAAAGTTATAGCTTAACTGTTCAGCTGATAGTCCCTTCTCCCAAAACAGAACACTTCAACTCCATCCTGAGAAAGCCTCAGTATCAGTGAAACAGTGGCCCCATCTGTTGATTTTGAGAAATTAACGGAATGAATGAGGCCAGACCTGGGACTCAGAACTCAGCCAAGCGAGCGCCCACTCTGTCCTTTCCATTGGGCTCCATGCATGAATCCCCAGCTCCTCATGTAGAGATGCTTATGGCAAGGTCTCCATTAGAACCCCAGAGCCAGTGCCCTCCAAGACACTCCCAGGAGCTGCAGAGAACCTAGAGCTGGGTCTGACCATTAGAACAAAAGCAGCTCTGCTATAATAGAGGAAGCTGGAGTGGAGCACTAGGGCTTGAAGACCTGCATAGCAGAATTGAGAACTTGGTATGACAACACAGTGGGCACTGGCTTCATGCCCTATGCGAACTCTGTTAGAGCAGAGATGAGCCATGGGCTAGAGCTGCTGTGGTGAGGTGTGGTATTTATGGGAACAGATCTGAGACAGGAGACTAAGCAGGATCTGAAGCCCTCAGACCAGCACCAGGTATGTGTGGTCTCCCCATTGCCTTTCTCCAGCAGGGATGGGCTGTCTGAGGTGCTCCAGGCTCTGAGATAAGGTTTACAGCAGCCTGTAGAGCTTATCAAAACTCTAACACTGGCATCAAAACTCTAACACTGGCATCGGCATGGGAAGATTGAGGCTGGGGTGGGGGGGAAGAGGGTACATGCTCCATTTGCAACAACTTGGCTTCAACTTTCCTGCTTGGAGCTATGCGCCAGAGATTTTGTTCATGACCTAGACTTGGGTAGCAGCCCCTATCCCTGCTTGAATGAGGCTACCATGAATCGTCTTGTATTGCAACATAAATGGAAAAATAATCTGGGTTTGGCTGAAGTGCATAAACACTTGGAAAAGGAAATTATTGAATGAAAGTGATACTACTGAATAGGGAGCTACCCAGAGGACATTTTAAGGACACTGTCTGAAGCCTGTGTTCCTTCCAGGCTATAAGGAGGCAATCTTTAAACTAGGTGGGTGTGGCTGGCTTCTACAACCATAGACTCTGGGCAAAGGAAAGTGCTTGCACTCTGTTGGAAGACCAGCACAGAGGGTGACAGGGTGGGGCCAGCTGGGTGCAGGACCTGCAGACTGACAATGAACAGGCCCCTCTGAGGAATTCAGCTGCCCTACCAGTTATGCCTGGGCCTGAACAGGGGAAACCTTTGTCCTTCTTTTTCATTTGTCCCAAGCCCTGTGGTTACTATAAATGCCAAAGCCCTTACTCTCTACATTTTCCCACATATGACTGAGAAAAACCTTAATAGTAGGAGGCACTTTTTAAAAAATTGTTTCTGGCAAAGGTTTTTGCTTTTGCAAGGCCCAGCTGAGTAACACAGGAAGCAGAAAGTGTGAGGATCCCCACCCCCATCCTCAGTTAGAAGAATCAGAAAATAAGATCAAAACAGGAGCTCTATGTTACCACTTCCTGCCTTCCCCAGGCACCCAGACTCTTAGCACAGGAGGCCCACCTCACCCCCAGTGACCCTCTCTGTCCCTAGTCTTTATAGCCGTGAACTGCCATAAATGTTCAAATTGTCCCTCGGTTTGATGATGGGAGCCACAGCATCCAGGCCCAGAGAAAGGGCCCCCAATCCCACAGGACTTGGGTGAAAAAGTCAGAGGAAAAAAAAATATGAAAACCACTTACCGGCTCATGGCCCTATCTCTGAGAAATATGCCCTTATTAATGGCACCCCCACACACACTGGTCCAGGCAGATACACCTGGGTAAAACTCAAGGCTGACAAAGGGAATTTCTACAAAAAGAAGGAGGCACAGAGTAAGTGGAATGAATTGCAGCTCTACCCACCCTTCTCTGCATGGTCCTGGATCAAGGGATGCCTTGAAGTGCCACCAGCCTCCACAAGACTTGGGACATGCTGGGGGTGGGGATGGGATGACAAGACAGACAGACTAGACCATTAGACTGATCCAGCTACTGAACACCTGTGTGACTTTCTCAGAAGTCTCTTACACCCTCCTGGTGCCCACTCCTACTCTGCTTAATATCTCTAGATCCATTTCTCATGTGAGTCCCACCAGGCAGGGGAGTGCACGCACGCACACACGCACGCGCGTGCGCGCGCGCACATACACACACACACACACACACACACACACACACACACACACATTATTTCAGACCATAGCCACCAGTTTCACTGCCTTGGATTCAACCAACATTGGATTGAGAATAATGGAAAGAAAAAACTTCCCATTTTTTCTTGTTTTTCTTATAATTAGTCCCAAGTCAGTCTGTTACATGGCATTTCCAGTGTACTGTAAGTGAGCCAGAGATGATTTTAATCATATAGGAAAATGTACATAGGCCATCAGCAAGTGCTATACATTTATATAAGTGACTACAGTGTTCTGAGGGGTTCTAGGAACTAATCCTCAGTGGATACGATGTGTGTGAAATGCAAGGGCTGCTACTAGAGAGACCTCTGCCCCACTGGCCTGCCTGGCCTGAAATCAAGGTACAGACCGTGTCAGTCTCCCCTCTTGTCTCTCTTGAGTTGTAGATGTCTGCCTTGTCTTCAGGTGGTCTCCCCTCAGTATATCCTGATTGATGTTCTGATCTTGTTTTATTAAAAACAAACAAACAAACAAAAAAAAAAAACCACCAGGGAACTAGACTGGGATTCACTCGACCGCATTTTAAGTTCTTTAAAGGCCCACCTCCAAGTACCGTTCCACTCTAAGAGGAGAATTGCAGCATTCAGCCTGAAGGGCAAACATGGTTCATTCAGCCCATAACAAGGAATTGCAGCAAATACAGATTCTCTCCAGAATCAATGGAGGCAGGAAAAGCAACAGTGCATGTGGGGACAGTGAGAGAAATTACAGCTTAGGAACCTCCCTGTCGGTGGCCTCTTCCTGGGCCATTTCACTTGAAACGCAAAGGACATAGAGGATCTGGGGCCAGACCAACTTCCCCCCAGAGCTCCTCAGCTGGCCCTGACCCTAAAAGGGTTCAGCCCCACGGCATGCCACAGCATCGAGCTTCCCCTATGCGCAACTGGGCTGGAAAGGTGTAGGCAGCCTCTTTGTGTATTTTTTTGGCTTTAGTTAACTAAATCATCCTGTCTACTTTAGGGGCAGCTTAACGAAGACAGATTGAAGGGCAAACTAAGGTCCCTAGAAAACCAGCTCTACACCTGCATGCAGGTAAGCATTCTGGAGAACAAACCTAGCACATTAATTTTAATAAAATGAGAATGTTTGACTCTTTAGTCCTGCCTTCTAGAAATCCTACCAAATGGAGACTATCACACTGCTCACTCTGTCTATTTTCACTTTGGGACCTAATTTTCCATGTCACTGTCTCCACTGCCCCTTCTTTGTCCTAGTATGCACCCTGGTGTACCCCAGGAAGGAATTCCAGCACTAAACACATTGTTGGCTCCTAGGGAACTGTGGGAAAAGCACCTTGGTAAAGGTTTTTTTTAAAAAAAACAAAAAACAAAAAAACTCCACAGGCCAATCTGAGGGCAAACAAAACCAGAGGAGCAATGAATGCAAATACACAGCTTTTAGAACACTAAGTCCTTAGATTCCTGTGACTTCTTTTAGGCAGCAGTGTGTTCTCCATTTGGAAACTGTTGTTAGGGGAGTAAGGAAGATTCATCCATGGAGCAGAGCAGCGGGGCCTGGGGTGTGGGCGGGAGTGTGGGGGGACTATTAATGAAAATTCCAGAAGCATGGGTCCCATTCTCGTGAATGCCAATGTGTCAGTTCTCAGCAAAGTCACCAGACCCAGGGACAGTGGAGTGCATGCTCTGCACCTAGAGTTTAGCAGAGGATAACCCGCTGAAAGGATAGAGGCTGTGGCTGCAGCTGCCGCAGAAGCACCCTACCAATGGCAGGCACCTCTCATATAGCCTGAGGGACTCAGCTCCAGCCTGAAGAAAAGGCCCACCAGACAACTGGCATCTCTGCCCCGGGGACATTCTTTACATGTGTGTATCCCAGCTGTTGGGTAGGCAGAAGTTCAATGTATATTTGTTGAATTGCTTCTGGTTTACAGAAATACACTCCCTGGGGAATGAAGAAGGTGCTGCTGGAGATGGAAGACCAGAGGAGCAATTATGAGCAGAAGGCTAAGGAGTCACTGCAGAAAGTGCTGGAGGAGAAAATAAGCGCCGAGCAGCAACTGCAGAGTGTGCAGGTGAGGGTGCTGTGCATTTCTGGGAGCTGGAACCCTGGAGACAGTCCCCAGGACAAGGAGCCAATTACACACTCCTGGGAGCATGCTCCTCAAGTCCATCCTGTACTTAAAACTGCAATAAAAGCAAACAGAGGCTTCAGTGTCTTCCCTTTCTCTATGCCTCTGTTCCTTGAAACGTCTCTGTTCTCTCTCAGCTGTCCCTGGCTTTGGCAGAGCATAAGTGTGAAGAGTGGAAGAGTCAGTACGAGGCTCTTAAAGAGGACTGGAGGACCCTAGGGGACCAGCATAGGGAGCTAGAGAGCCAACTGCATGTGCTTCAGTCCAAACTACAGGTACAAGGCCCTGGGCATGGGAGGGGAAGGAGGGGAAGGAGGGCAGAAGTGGGGGAAAGGGTCTGGTGAAAAAAGATGCTCCTGGGTTGGGCCCCAAAGCCCTGAGAAATGCAGCAAGGAGCTTTCAAATCCTCACCCAGTGCTCACTTAGTGCCAGACTCACTGTTTTGCCTCTGAACTATGATTCTGCACTTAGAAATAATGCCTGTACTGCTCATGCAAATGAATTAAGTACCCACTGGACCAAATATAAATGCCTGGGTTGGTGGGTTGATCAGCCTGCTAACTAACTGCACACTATTCAAACACCATCCTAGCAGAGTACACAGTGCACAACTGCTCACTGTTCTGCACACAATAAACATGACTAGTCTATTTGCAGGTGTTAACATGTCCTGCCAATGCATTTCTTAACAAACTACTGTAAACCCTTGGCATACTCAAAAGTTCCTATGCTTTCAATCTGTCACCTTAGAAAATCTAATTAACCTCCATAAACCTGTTTCCTCATCAGCAAAATAAGGGTAATAATATTGTTGTATGTATTAAATACGGACATCCACACAAAGTGTTTAGTATAATCTATGGTACATATGAGCACTTGATACAAGTTAGCGATTACTTTGCATGTGTTACCTCTGGCCTGGGTGGAGACCTAACATTCCCAGCTACCTAAAACATAAGAGTTAGTCCACTGGGGATGGTCAGTTATCTGGTTAGCAAACCATCCCTCAAAAAGGCAGACCCACCTTAAGCCATGCCAAAGGAAGAATAATTATGCCTTTATTAAGATGGTTCACTATCCCTTCCCAGAAAGTCTGGCCCTGGTGTAGTCTCTTACTGAGCCACAGCCCTGCTACTCGGTTAAGCCTGTGCATTTTTCTGATGTTCTCAGAAAAGTGTAACTTTTCTTTTCATCTCTTTTTTCTTTCTAATACTTGCCAAAGCTGAGGTATGCTTCCAGATTTTTCTTCCTCTGCGGTTATTCTTTCTTCATCTCCTTTCCCATACAGCTGTTTGCCAAACATGGCTTTCTTTCCCTCTTCTCCATCGTTGTCCTCTAGGCAGATGCTGAGATTTACAGTATGGACACTCTATTTTTGTCATTATTAGTGTTTGGGGTGGTTTTTTTTTTTTTCTTAGCTAAGAAAACACTTTCTTCAAAATCTGTTCTTTTTTTAATGTTAACAATCTTCAATTTTTTTCTTAAGATTTTAATTACATTTCTCCTTGCTTTTCCTCCCTCCAAACTCTCCCATATATCATTCCCTGCTCTCCTTCAAACTTATGCCCCCCTTTTTTCATCACTTACTCTTGCATTTATATGTGCATATAAATGGTTGAATCCACATATTTCTTGTATGTATGTTTTCAGGGCTGACCATTTGACACTGAACAACTGATTGGTATGCTCTTTCCTGGAGGAGGGACCACCTCTCCTGCTCCCAGCTTTCCTGTTGCCTATAGTTCTTTGTGCAGGGTTGAAGCCTCGTGGGTTTTCCCCATCCAGCTTGGCATATCCATTGGTGTCCTCCTTGTACACTTCACATTTGAGCAGTCATGCTAGTGAGACTTTGTGGATTCACTTCAGAAGTTACTAGGAGACAGAATCTCACAGCAAATTCCCTGATCTCTGGCTCGTACGGTCTTTTGCCCAGCCCCCCCCCCTTCTGCAGTGTTCCCCAAGCCTTAGGTGCTAGAGTTGTTTTGTACATGTATCCATGTATCCATTGAGACTGGGCTCCACAAATATGCGTTTTGATTGGTTGTAGTTTTCAATAGTGGGGTCCATCTGTTGCAAAGATAAGTTTCCTTGATGTGTTCTTAAATTTTTTATTAACAAATCTAAGAACTGAGAGGAGACGGTACTCCAGGTGGGGCTCCCCAATTATTTTCAGTAACACATAGATTTCACTCACTTAGTTTGGAACTTTGAAGATCTGCCCCCAAAGTGAATCTTTACAATTTCCCCCAAGAGAGATCAGAAAAAAGCACGGCTGATGAGGAAGTGAGACTTTTTAGAGACACAGGTCTCTGGCTTCACAGCACACTGCATCCATATTTCAACTTTTGCTCTCTTCTTCCCATCATGCATACGCCAATTCTTAGGGAAGTGTTTTAAGTTTTATAAACAGTAATTATTTGTGAAAATACTCACAATTCCCCCTCTCCTTCAACAAATGATTGCGCTAAAAGTGAAGGTAAAGTGAAACATGTAGAAAAGTTCCAACTTGGTGTGCCTTGATGTGGAGACCTGTCAAGGCATCAGGACATCATTTCCTGTATCTACCCAGTCAGATGTACTGCTGGAAACATGCAGGATAGAAGACAAGGGGAAGTGGGGTAATTTTGCATTTTCCCATGCTCTAAAGTTCTACTGTTTTCTGTTCCATGGCACCTGCTCTGTCCCCACCCACGCTGACTGGCTACTATATGGCACCTCCTCATCTCATCCCTTCAGGGAGCAGACAGCAGAGACACACAAATGAACCAGGCCCTGCGGCTTTTAGAAAGTGAGCAGCGGGAGCTGCAAGCCAAAATTGAGTGCCTGCAAGGGGACAGAGAGCAGCAGAGCTCTGACACTCAGGACCTACAAGGTACTTCTCTTCTTGGGGGTATTGGGGTCATGAGAGCCACAAATGAGGTTAGGGAGAGGCTGTGGGGAGGGTCTTGGTCTTCATTTCTGCTTGGCTGTATGATTTCATCTTTCCATGAGGGAAAGGTGGGGTTCTGCCTTCATCACTGAAATGAGCATCAGTTGTACTCCACTAGGACTTGGTCCACTCTCCTCTCCAGCCTGTCCCTGTGGGCAGGACCACTGCTGCACCTATGCTAGTCATATGCCAAGGCCATGTTCCTAATTTGAAAGTGTTCGTACAAACTGGCAGAATGAAGGCTTCCCAGCTGTGCCGGTGTGGGCTGAAGGGACCCACAGGTGTGCACACAACACGGTGATGTTTGTGTGCAGATGCTGGCCTTCCTCTTCAGACCTGAAAGACACTTGACACTTCATAGGCCACAGAGAGGACAGGACACGGCTCTCAGTTCCACCCTCTGCTGCTCTTCTGTTTTAGTTTGTGTTCTTTCACTTTCAGATCAACTGAAGAGGTCGGAGGAGGAGAAACAGGTCCTGGTGAGCAGAATACAACAGCTGCAGGGTAAGTGTTCCCTTCAGTCTTAAGCCTGCACAGGTGGCTTCCAGTGTGCCCACCCACAAAAGGCATCCAAAGGAAGCCCCCACCCCAGACTCTGGTGTGTCCAGTTTCCACACACCCTCAGGCCCACTTCCTGAAAAGGGAGGGTCGGGTCATTTGCTTTTCACAAGTTACATGGTTTGTTTCTTTCCCAAGTTGTATATTAGCATCTGTTCTTGTGTTTCCTCTCTATTTTCCTCCTTGTCCATGACAACCATTTATATTTCTACAAGAATTACAAGCTGGGTGTTAATGGTGCACGCCTTTAATCCCAACACTGGGGAGGCAGAGTCAGGCGAATCTCTGTGAGTTCAAGCCCAGCCTGGTCTACAGATCGAGTTCCAGGACAGGCTCCAAAACAATACAGAGAAACCCTGTCTAAAAAAAAAAAAAAAAAAAAAAAGAATTGCAGCTATGTGTATAGTTTGTATGTGTGTGGTATGTGTAATGTGTGCATGTATGGAATGTGGGGGAGCTGTGATGTATATGGGTGATGTGTATTATGGTGTGTGTGTGTGTATGTGTGGTGTATGTGTATGGTGTATATGGGTGCCCATGAAACATGTACAGAGGTAAGGGGGCTGGAGAGTGTTGAGTATCTCCTCTGTCGCTCTCCACCTTAGTCCCTAAGAAAGAGTATGTCACTGTTTCCCCAGCAAGGCTAGCCAGCAAGCCCTACTGATCTTCCCTTTTCTGCCCCTGGACCTGACAGCATTAGGGTAACAGGAACAGGTAGCCATGCCCAGTGTTTTATGTGGATGCTGAGGATTTAAACTTAGGTCTTCATGTGTGTACAGCAAGAATTCTTGCTCCTCCATTGTCCCAGGCTCCAGAACTGTCCATTTTAAGAAGTAATGGGCTTTCTAAGATAGTTCTTTTCTTATACATTCCATGTATTCACATGAACGTGTCACTCAGACGTTTCTCACTAGAGATGGTTCAGAAAATAAGCATTCATTGAACCCTACATAAGAGTCAGGCACCCTAAACATATGCACCAGGGTATACAATAAGCAAAAGTAATAGCTTCTTAAGAAATTTCATTCTAAGAAAGTCCAGAGGTAGAGGTTCCATGGGAAAGAAATCAATGTATGTTGAGAAAATTAAAAGGAAAATTAGTCATTGCTATATAAAAGATCATCTGAGAATGTGTTCCTTGTAAAGTAACAATTAAGCAAAGACTCACAGACACGTTAGAAGCTGACATAAGGAAGACTTATTGGTAATGAAGTACCACAGTGACTTGGACAAAAACGAGCTATTGCACAGTTCTGGAGGCTGCAGTTCAAAACCATGCTGTCCAGAGGGTTAGTGCCTTCTGGGGTGAGGGCCTGCTTTAGGCCTCTCTTTAGCTTTGCCAGTGGCTTTCCTTTCTTACGTGTCTTCACATCGCTTTCCGTGGAGCACGTGTGGGTCTAGATATTCCCTTTCTTATAAAAACAACAGTTATCCGGACTGACCCAACTTAATGACCTTATTTTTACTTAGTTACCTTTTCAAAGACTCTGTCTCCAAGGAAGTTCACATTACAGGAGTCAACTTCAGCACAAAAGTTTTCAGGAACAATATTCAGTCCCTAACAGATGGTGACATCTTAAATGAGTCTTCACAGTAGGTCTACTAGCACAGACAAGTTCCTTTTGTCTCCCAACAGGTCTGCTTCAGAAACAGTCCTTACACCATCAAGAATGGGAGAAACTCTTAAAGAAAGGTCAGCAAATTTACTCCCACTAACTGTTGCTCTCCCTTTGTCTGCCTAGAGGCTGGGAATGGACTACATGACTTCTTGGGGTCCTCCCCCTACTCCTGAGAAGTCAGGGGGGAAGGGAAATGTTTTGAGAAACTTTCACTGACCTGGACATTTTAGTCAGCCTTCTACTCTGAGAGGTACATAAACTGTGGGAAAGGGTTTCTACTTTCTCTGAAAACATTGTCTGTGTTGAACATTTCAATAAATTGATTTTGAACTCCGAATTTTATGTCAGTTTTTACACAGTTGACTTTACAAATCACATCCAGCTCCTCAGCCCAGACCACACAGCACACCAGAGTCCTCTCACTCCAGTCTGACCAGGCTGCTGCCCAAGCCTGCTAAGGGCTCATTGGCCACACAGAGGCCCCAGTGTCTCCTCTGCTATCCACAACACATAGTCTGTCATTTTATTTTCACAACTATTGGGTGTAATACAGGAGAATACAGAAATTATTGTGCCTACATAGCACAGACAAGAAAATAAAAATCTCTGGCCATATAAATTAAGGACTAATTAAAACAATAACCCAGAACTTAGCTCTAGTCCAGTGCTCTTTTCTCCAAAACTTGGACAAGGTGGCTGAAAAACCCAGCTTTAAAATATTAAGAGGCAGTCTAGAATGACTTCCATTTTCAGGACACAAAGGTGAAAAATGGTGCAAAGGACACAGAATTGAATAGAAGCATTTAGCAGACACAAGAAACTAGATACTATGTGACAATAATGGAACAATTTCAATTGGTAAGCATTCACAAAAACTATCAAATTAATACAGACTCAAAGAAAAACAGATGTCAACCTTGCTTCAAGGAGGTTTTTTTTTTTTTTTTTTTTTTTTTTTTTTTTTTATTTGTTTGGTTTGGTTTGGTTTCAATACAGTATCTCACTACAGAGCTCTGGCCATCCTGGAACTCACAGAGCAACCTGCCTCTGCCTCCCAAGTGCTTCTGGGACTAAAGGGTGCACCACTATGCCCAATGTGTCTGAGTTCTTTGACGCAGAATGTCCTACTCTATTCAGTGAAGATGAAGACAAATCTGCTGGCTCTCTGTTCTCCAAGTCACCCTAAGGGTTCTCAATGACAGTGACAGGGCCAGCCCTCTCACACACAAGGGTCTTGCTGTCACTGAGACTCTGGCTGCTTTTTTAGATCAGGCTTTACCTGTGTGGAATCCAAAGTTCTCCCTTGATGAAGCAAAGCCTGAAAGCACAGGGGAGGAGAAAGACTGGGAGCTCAGAGACCAGCTACAAAAGGAGACATCTCAGCTCCAGGCCGAGGAAAAGGAGGTGAGGAGGCAACCTCAGAGTGTAAAGATTCATCCAAACTATGAGATCTCATCCTGACTGTGTGGGTTCAACTAGACTCATGGTTCTCAACCTGTGGGTCATAACCCCTTTGGGGTTGCATAGCCAATATCTTGCATATCAGATATTTACCTTATGATCAATAACATTAGCAAAAATACAGTTTTGAAGTAGCAATGAAATAATTTTATGGTTGGGAGTCACCACAACATGAGGAACTGTATTAAAAGGTCGCATTTTGGGAAGGTTGAGAACCACTGATCTAGATTTTAAGGAACAGGGAAACTTCCTGCAAGATAACTGGAAAGCAGGAACTTCCAAGTTTAACTTGTGACTGGGTGCCCACAGTTATTAATTTTCCTCTACAAATTTCTTTGCCCTTGGATAGACTTGCAAACTTTCTTCTTCCAAATTTAAAACAATACCTATTAAGGTTATATGGTAGCCTATTAGGAAGTCAACCAGAAGATAAAAATATTTGCTAAACACATTCACATACTAAGTATCACAGTGCTTTATTTTACATAATATCTTTTAAGTAGCAAACACTTTCTTGGGAACATACTTCCAAACTCACACACACTTGGAAGTATGCAGAAACAACTAGCTCCCAAGGAAGAGAGGCTTGTCCTCCAAATACTTCTCTAAGCTCTAAGAACTTATATTTTAGTATGCCTACTTGCAAAGTCATATAAAAGCATCTGCATGAATTGGGGCCAGTAAGCTGGTTCAGCAGGTAAAAGTACCTGCTGCCAAGCCAGATGACATAAATTCAACCCCTGGGACCAACATGGTAAAAGGAGAGAAGTGACTCTAAGGATTGTCTTCTGACTCCCACATATGCGCTGTGATATTTACACACACACACACAAACCACCACCACCACCACCACCACCCGCAGCAGCAGCAGCAGCAGCAGCAACAACAACAACAACAAATAATGTAAAAAAAAAAAAAAAAATGAAGCATTTCCATGTGTCAAATATAATATATGCAGCATAACCAATTGCATACCTCAACATATTCCAGGTAAACTATGTGATAGGAAAAAGACTAACTAAAATCTCTGAGAAAAGGAGGAAGAAGGGTTCACTTAAAACAAATAAAGGAGTATAGTACTCAGGGAAGTCGCCTTCCAGAGTTATGTCCCAAAATGAATTGGTGACATTTTGTTTGTCAAGAAGCCCTGAGACACAGCCATCTTCCAGAGCAAGAGGGCCCAGTCTTCTCTATAGCCTTATATGACAGTGGAACAGTTCCCTTTTAATGCCAGACTTACCAACAAAGTATACCAGTCCTCACCAATATCTGGCCGTCCTGTCCTGTTCCACTTGATTTGCATTATGCCAACAGAATGGCAATATGAAATAATATGACAATTACGAATAAATGTGAAAGAAATACCATCTATAATCCACCCAATTTTCACTCATCTCTTGAGTCTGGAAGACACTAGATGGAGCCCACTCTGAAACCCTGACACGTTCTAGATCCAAAACACACCATGCATGCACAAGTATGATGCTCAAAAAGCTGCAGCTGTTTTGGGAGCATGTGGGTTTGGGGGTTTAGGGTGCCTTTTTATTAGGTCTGCACAACCAGTAAAGTCTATACAGACACTACAAAATGCAAAAAAAAAAAAAAAAAAAAAAAAAAAAAAAGACAAAATCTGAAACACTGCTAATCCCAAACATTTCAGACCTGTGTTCTATGTTGACTCAAGTATGACAGAGTTCTCTCTTGATTTATTGTGAACATGTTAGCAAGGGCAGGAGGAAGACTTAAAAAGCATTGAGGCACACAAAGAGAGCATTATTTTGCTGAATTAGTTTCTACTTTTGAATATTCGTATCAGCATTTAAATATCTGTCCCCTGTTGGATGAGAGTCTATAGGCCACTAGTAAAATGGTTTTATCTCAAGAGATGTGACATAAAGTGGGGCAGGGGAGGGAAATACTGAATCAAAGATTTCCTTTCTGACACCAATGTGAGGTTTTCCACTGGGTTAAGACACTAAAGGACTGTTCTTGCCTGTTTTCTCCAACTAACTAACTCACAGATGCTCTCTCCTGTCTCTGCCTCCTTCCACACAGCGGCAATGTGGCCATTGGCTCCCGGTGCTGATGGTGGTGATTGCTACAGCACTAGCAGTGTTCCTGGCAAACAAAGACAACTTGGTGATCTGAATAACTTCTGGCATCTGTTTGTCTGGGTAAAATTCAGAAGCAAATAATTCCATGGAAAAACTTGAGTTTTGGACTTTACAACTTAAGTTTTCCCTCCAAGTGAATCTAGATTTCTAGTTTTATATATATTTTAACCATGCTTGTAAATAAACTTTATCTTACAAGACTATTCTTCAGAACTGTATATTCCTGGAAAACACAGCACGCAGCACAAACATGACACTTAGACATCATGGTCGTATATCCTAATTCAATTAGTGCCACATAAACATGCAAAGTACCCAATCATTCTCCTTCCCTCTAGGGCACTATCTACTTGGGGCAGGTCACCATCCAAGGGTATGTTGCTTTGTCTCCACAATGCTCCTTTTCCCACTCTCTTCTATTTCTTATTCAATGAAAAACAGACACCTCTGCTAAGTACGTAGGAACTCCTAATATAGAAACAGAAAACATACTACTGCTGCTAACAACTATCCCATTCACATAAGTGGCCAAGTGACTGCACAGCATTGTTCCCAAGACACTTAAAATAATGTTAATTCAGCATTATTCATAATAGCCAGAATCTGGAAACAACCTAGATGCCCCTTAACAGAAGAATGGATAAGGAAAATGTGATACATTTACACAATGGAGTACTATTCAGAAGCTTAAAAAAAAAAAAAAAGACATCTTGAAATTTGAAATTTGCAAGCAAATGGATGGATCTAGAAAAAAAAACATCCTGAGTGAGGTAACCCAGACCCAGAAAGACAAATATAATATGTACTCACTCATAAGTGGATATTAGATGTAAAGCAAAGAACAATCAGCCTACAGGCACAACCCCATGAAACCAAGGTAACAAAGGGGTCCCTAAGAGAGATATACACGGATCTACTCAGGAAAGGGAAAAAGACAAGATATCCTGAGTAAATTGGGAATGTGGGGGGTAGAGGAGGGGCGAAAGGGGAAAGAGGAGTGGGGAAAATATATATATAACTCAATAAAAATTTTTAAGAAAATATATAAAACTTAAAATATTGAAATAAAGATATAATTTAAAATTTTTGTAATTGATAGATTGACATCTTCCACCCAGAGAAAAGCATTCACTAATACCTTCTCAACAGGCAGAGCTAAGTCAGAGGGCTACAGCAGGCAGTGTGACTAACTCAGAGGAGATGCTGAGGTCACCAAAGTCATTCTGAGCCCTAAATCGGGTTCTGAGCTCCTTCTCCCAGGTGCTAAGGAAGTTCCTCAGGGCTGGGAACAAACTCTCTGGAACACTAAAGGAATAGAGAAGAATTGGATGTTGACCAGACAGCCATGAAATCTGGACAGTGAACACCCGCAAGGGGGTCATGGCTAAGCAGTTGCCATCTCTATGGTTCAGGTGAAAAGTGTAAGAGACAGGATAGCCCAGGAGTATCCCAAATACAGTGCAGAGGTTCCAGTTTGAAGGATGCAGCTTGCTGTAGGAGACTCCCAGAGACACATCCTTCCGCAGTTCTTGAAAATGTGTGATGATCTCAGTTACGACAGATTGCAAGTCCTGGAGCTGGTCCAGTGAGCAGACAGATGGATGAGACTGGGAGCAGGAGACATCCACTAACGCTGTGGTTCCAAGCAGTACCTGCTCCAAATGCTGAGAGGCATGCTCTGGACTGACAATGAGGTTATTCTCCCCAATCTCAAGAATGTGAAGTCGCACTGTCAGAAAGCCCAGCCCCTGCAGCTCCTCCAGATAGCTCTGGAGCGCCACCGCTCCAGCAGAGGTGTGGTCACAGAGAAGGGCTGGCTTTAGCCCGCGGGCCACGGCCAGCACCTCTCCTGCTAGGTGAAGACAGACAGCTCGAGGTGGACCCTTTCTCTTTCCCATGCCTAGGGTCTGCCGAGCAGCTGCCATCAGCAGCTGAGGGCTTGGTGTTGACATGAGATCTGGAAGTTAACACCAAGCGTGGCCTCCTTAGCTAGCCACAGTTCCCTTCCGAGAGTCACAGTTCAGCTTCCAATACTTGGGGAAGAGCCTAGAAAAAATGTGGTAAGGAGAAGTCATTAACTGTCGACATAGGGTCACCGGTGCTACACCCCATTTCTCTGGCAGACGTAAGTTTCCTGAATCCTTCTAGCCACATTGATACTGTCTCTGGCTTCGATTCTTATTTTCATCTGGTGCAATGTATACTCTGGGACAGTCTCTGGCAAAAGTTACCACCACTTCTCCCCAAACTGCCCGTCTGGAACAGAGCCCTGGGCTGCAAACGTTAAGCTTTCCACTGACAAGTCCCCCTTTCTCCCACTAAGAGTTGTCACAGCAGCCTGATCAAACCAGCGTTAGCAAGAATGCAGAGTAACCACCGCCTCACCCTTAGACACACAGGTGAGAGCAGCTCGACCTGGGGCAGGGCCACATTTTAACACTGCTGGGCCCGCCTTCCCTTCCACCACACGTACCCACGCGTGACATTACGAGACCAGTTACATAAGGTAGCGCTCTGACTCAAGACGCTGAGCTTGCACTTCCGCTGAAGGTTCGGGGACGCAGGAAGTCCTTCCGGCTCCCTGGCAGCGGCCGGGAAGGCAACTAACTGTACCGCGCCCTGCACAAAACTGCGAAAACCAAGTGGTTATGAGGAAGGACCCGGGGAAAAACAGCCTGATGCACACGCGAACCGCTCTACTCTGTCCTTCCGTGATGCCATTCATAGCGCGAACGCAAGCCGGAACCATTGACGAGGCAGTGGACCGGGTGGGAGTACGGCCACTTTAGGTCCTCCCCTTCCGGTAGGACAGAAGCCAGCTGCCGGCCGGGCGGAAGTGGGAGGTAGTATCCGGGATCTGGTGCTGTCAGTTCGCGGTACAGCCAGGACGCCTCTTCTGTGGGCAGTAATAAAGCTTTTTTTTTTTTTTTTTTTTTTTTTTAATAATGTCCGTAAATCCTGGACGTAATAGGTTGAGTACCAAGACCGTGAATATTCACTGCTTTAAAAAAAATGTCTAATTGTATGGACGCGTGCTACAGCGCCGTGTCAGGTCTCACTTCCACCTTGTAAGTGGATTTGGAGGACCGAACTCAGGAAACCGGCCACTATTTTATTGTATTATTTTATTTTGACAGCGTTTTGTGTAGCTGGGGCTGGCACGGAACGGGACTTGTCACTCTGGTTTATGCAGGGACTGAGCTCTGGACTTTGCGTGTTAGACAAACACTAACTGAGCTACCTCTGCAGCCACTGAGTATTCACTCTCAGTGTGCCTGGGCACGAGAGATAATACTGCATTATACAGAACAGCAACCCATTTCATGGTGCTCAAGGCCCGAGAGTCCAGTTTGCTGATCATTTTAAGAGGTTTAGTTTTATTTACATTTATATGTTCGTATGTGCGGTTGCCCAGGAAGCCAGAAAAGGGAGTAGGATCACCGGAAGGTAAGTGTGAGCTGCCCAGCGTGGGTCCTGGGAACCGAATTCAAAACTTTGGAAGAAAAGCAAACACTCCTACCCACTGAGGTCTCTCTATAGCCATACTGTTGTTTTTTGGTTTGGTTTGGTTTTGAGATGATGTGCCCCTCAAACTTGTGACAATCCTCCTGCCTCAGCCTCCAGAGTCTGTGCCACCATGCCACCAAGTAGGAGACTCAAATAAGAGAAGATCCAGAGGCCAAGAAGTTCAGGTGGTAGTGTGCCTATCCTTGAAACCAAAGTGCCACTGTTTTCATGAATTCACCTGTGTGGTCTTGTCCAACTAGGCTTAACAATTGACATTCCCTTACAAACAGAGGGTCTTGGGACCCTCACCACCCAGTCACTCCTCCCAGCCCTAGAACTAGTGCAACTAGGAAGGGGAATGTCATCAAGGAAGCCATGGAAGAGCTAACAGCCATACTGGGTGCAGAACCTCCAACATAGCTGCTTTGTGTGTGTGTGTGTGTGTGTGTGTGTGTGTGTGTGTGTGTGTGTGTGTGTTGGTTTTTGTTTTTTGAAACAGGGTTTCTCTGTGTTACATCCCTGGATGTCTTAGAACTCACTTTGTAGACCAAGCTATCCTCGAACTCAGGGAGATCCACCTGCCTCTGTCTCCCGAGTGCTGGGGTTAAAAGCGTGCACCCAGCTTTAAGGCTACCCACGATCCTGCCAATCACCCCTCACCTACTGTTCTGTAAGTAAGCCTAATAGACTCAATAGTTCCCCAGATTAACTTTGTTGGAAATACACCCCCATTTGTCACTGAGACCTTAGGAAGAGAGGTAGATGTTGCCTTGCTCCTTCCCCCCAGAGAAAAATCTTACAACAGGTAGTTAGGAAGGACAACTGTTCACATAAGAAATTAAAGCCTTTTAAACTACCAGCAACTTAAAATATATCTCTGTGAGAGGAAATTTTGAGAAAACTCTAGCCTGGAAAAATTGTCCCAATTTATGATTAGCAGAAAGAAGACCCAGACTGGAGGTTGGTTCTCCCTTGCTGGCACCTTCAGATAGAAAAGGGCCAACAGTGAGACTGAGACGGCACGTAAGGGAGACCAGTTGTAAGGCCTACCAATCTAACAGAGGTTCTTAGCTCAGAGGGAACCAGATACTAAAAATTGATACAACCAGAACTCTAGCATTGCACTTTTTCTTTCCCAAATTTATTGTATATCCCCATGGTAGTTAGCAATGAATCTCCAAATTGGAAGACTTAGTTCATTTATTACAGCACAAATATCTGAGAACACACTGTATCAAATGCTGCTGAAGACCTGGCAGTAAATCCAAGACAAACAGCCATGTAGGACATAGATGGTGAAGAATTTACACGGAACACAGTTATTCTGAAAGTTTAAGATGCTAAGGGAACATACAACCAGGGACTTAATTATGGGGAAGAAACCAAATTTGATATTTGCCTTCCCAGTTTACCTAGAATGCACACTGAGGAAGAGGAGGAGCTAAGGAAAATCCTCCTCCCTTCTGAGTCTTGAGAGGATGACAAGGGAGAAGGCAGTTAGGGAGTGAATGGAAGAGGCAGGAAACTGAGCCCTAAGAAAGGTTACCCGGTATCTTTCAAACCAGAGAAAGCTTACTGGAGATGATCATAGAAGATCCCTGCATGTAATTTACTCTCTGAGCATGCTGCAAAAGATGCAAGACAAGGAAGAAACTAGACTGTCTAGTTAGGACCACACAAAATATTTCCTCCTCCTATCACACTCAACTTTTCATTCTAGCCACACTTCAGAGCTTATTTTTCAACATTCTTCACCAGTTTCTTTATCTGGCCTTCCCTAATAACCTGTTATATTTCATAGAGGGGAAAGATAATGGTCCCTATTCCACAGCTGCCCTTCCACTTTTCCTATAATGAGTTATTTTTAGCTTGGAGCTCCCAGATTCCATGGTGCAACCACACATCAAGACTCCCTCACTTCAACTCACCAAATGATGTTACTTCACATTCCTCAAAAAAAAAAAAAATAGTAATAATAAACTCCCTATGCCTTGCATGATTCCTGATCTATAAATATCCAACTCTTAAACTTACACCTAAATATCTCTTTAAAAGAATTTTAGTTAGCATACAAAGAGTTTTACTCTGACATTTTCATTCTTTGTGTATGTGTGTACAGTTATATAATTATGCTTTGTTTTTATTCACACACACATCTACATTTTTATTTTTTTTTATTTTTATTTATTTATTTATTTTATTTTATTTTTTTTTTTTTGAGACAGGGTTTCTCTGTGTAACAGCCGTAGCTGTCCTGGTACTAGCTCTTGTAGACCAGGGTGGTCTCAAACTCAGAGAGATGCTCCTGCCTCTACCTACCAAGTGCTGGGATTAAAGGCATGTGCCACCACCACCAGGCGCTGCACTCACCTTTCTTAACTTACCCAGAGTTTTCTTAGTCCTGCTTTTAACAATCTCTTTAAAGAGTTTTAAACCAAAGCTCAAGCATCCTAAGTAAACCTCACTGTCACCCAATATCATTTTGAGCTTTTAGACTTTAAATCCACCCCAACTTTCAGTAGTTTGAAAAATAGGAAGTGCTATTCTTCATTTAAGGTGAGCAGACTATACACATGGGCTTGGGCCCTGTTACATGAAACAAAAAAACATTAGCATTCAAGAGGGATAGAACCTATAACCAGAGGTATACATCTGGTTTTTCATCTGAGACTTGGAATTCAAACAAGAAGGTGCTGGGGCGACACTCTGTGAGACACAGTTGTGGTGCTCTACACTACTCCTTCGCTCACAGAAAGAGACAGAAGCAGGTTTGAGCCTTGCCCAGAAGAGCACTGCCCAAACCTCTGACATATGTCACACCTCATTCTTCCCACTTGGAAAACCCATATGTCAGGAAGACTATTTTAAGTCTCTAAACAAGAACCGTCCATTTGGTCATCAGAGTGTATCTTAGATGCCCAACTCCCTCCAGCTCATGTTCAGAAGGAAATGAGAAAAAAGAAAAGCTTCTACCTTGAGTACACACACCCACCCCACATAGAATGTGGCATCAGTGGTGACAAGATAAACACCTGACAGCCACTCTTTCATGGAATCCCTAGGCTTTCCGTGTCACCAGCTTCCTGTCTGACGCCCACTTTATGAGCTTTAACTCCACAGGTTGGGTGACTTTCAGACCTTGGCACCCATTTCTATTTAGATACCAAACCGGTTCCTAAGCAACCAGTCAGCTCCTCTCCCTCTTACTTCCCCCAGCAGGGAACTAGCCTACTGTACTAGCAGAACAAGTCAAACAGAGCTCAATTCAGGGCAGATCAGTGCCTAAGGAACTTTGATAAAAACAAGAGGCGGGGAAATGTGGTCTCAGAACAATGCAGAAGGGTCCTGTTCTGGGCAGTTTTGTCTTACACAAGTAGAGGAAAGTACTCAAGTCAGAGTTTCAAGGCTGAATGCAATTGGACATCATCCCAAACCTTATTTATTTACAAGTGATACATCTGAAGCCCTTAAGTTAAATGACCTGCCTCACAGAAGCACAGCTGCAACTAGAACTCTAGTGTCTAAACTCCCAAATCAAATCTCCTACACACACTGTGGAAGATCTAAAAGGAACCCCTCAGAGGGATGGCATCTTGATAAATTAAAGAGCAATTTTCAAAACTAGAATATTTGGAAAGTCTCTAAGGATGTTAGAGAAAGGAGACTTAAAAAGTTGGTTAAATGTGAATTAAAAAAAATCCATATGTACAATATAAAAAAAGAGAGGAGAGAAGAGAGACACACAGCAGTCAGGATCACTGGGCAGGCAGGGCAGAGGGCAGCTGCATGCTGGGGGCAGGTTGCATGGGCTGCCAGCTCTCCTGGGTTTGAAGGATTCGGTACAGCTGCTTGAGCTGGGCGACGATGTTGTCTTTGATGTCTGGAGTGGAGATCTGCAGCCGAACGCTGCCACTGTCAAAGGACCGGGTAAAATCACCAGAAAACATCTCGTAGATCATCCGAGCCACCACTGGAATGACCTGTTCAGGAAAGGGCACACGAGTTTCTGCTGAAGAACAGGGAGCCCCGGACATTGATGAAGAACCACCGAGGTCCTGAGAAAAGCCTCTCCCCACCCAAATATCTAGGTGCTAGTAAAGAGCTATAGTTTCACTAGTCAAGGTTCACCCTAGAAGTTGGTTAATCCAAGGTAAGGAATCTGAATGTTGCATCATTCCACATGCCCAGCTAGACAACTTCTTACTTAGCAAAACTGTGAATCAAGTGACATCCATTGCCTATCTTGGTGCCTAACTCCATGCACAGTTCAAGTAGACTTGCTTACCATCCCCAGAACATGACAAAACATCTTACAAAGATGGCCAAAACTTTTTATATAAGGTGATGGAAAATGTTACATCGCATAAGGTGTTAGCAATACCCTAACATCAGGAGGAGAGTGAAAGGTAAAGTGTTCACTAAATTGTTCACCCATGATAAGCATGTGGTATTGTGTCCTGCACAGTCCTACAATGCAAAGCTTAAGTCAGCTGTCTCTCTGAGGGCATTAAAATACACATTTGCCCCAGATATTCAGCCAGGACCCATCCCAGATGAGGAGCTAAAGCACCAGCACAAAGAAGAGTTGCTGACATGGTCTTATCTCCTCACCTGAACCAAGATGAGCTTCCTCTCCAGGGGCTTCCCATCTGGCCATTCTTCCCCGAAGCATAAATAGATCTCAAATGGTGGCTGCTTCTCTATCTGTCCTTTCTGGTGGGCAATGAGCTCTACAGAAGATGGGAAAACACTTCAGGTTCTCTATCTGTGTCAATAAACATCATCTTTCGTGCAGCCCAGTACCATAGGCACAAGCTACATGTGGCTGCTAATTTTAAATAAATAACTCCTTGGCCATATAAGTTGCATTTACATGCTCACCAGACATATGTGACCAATGGGTACCAAATTGGATAGGACAAAAATATAACTTCTCTATCTTTTCAGAGGGTTCTACTGGACAATGAGGATATAGGCTTGGAATTCAAATTTATATCTCAATACTTTTTCTAAATTTTGCCTCCTTAAATTAGTCACTCAGAGATTTCCCAAAAGAAGAGTATGAGTTTTGCTAACTATGATGAATAAAGTAAACTTTCAAGAGTGAAAGATAACCTCACATTTGGGGAGGGGAGTCCTGGCAGGACTGTTTCCTCTGTCCCCAAAGGAGCCATCACCAACCTCAAAACTCCTTCCATGCAGACAGCCTTGGAATGCACCACTTTCTGTGACTGCCTGAGTCCCTCTCCGAGTTTAGAACCAGAGCACTTTTGTCCCTTGACTTTTTGCTATGCCAGGAAAACATAGGAGAGGAGGGAGGAAGAAGGAGAAAAATCTCCAGGGGGCATCTCCCAGTATCAATCTTCTAAAAACAGACTCACCACTCAGGAATGTTTCTAGACAAAACAACTTGATCTTCTTCTGCCTCTCAATCAGGTTAGGAGCAGCAAGTGAGGGGGCACATGGCCCAGACCAGTACACTTTGCACTGGCACAGCCTGATGGCATAAATGGCATGTCCGCTGACCTCCAGGATCAGTCCCCTGTCCATGACATCCAACAGCTTACTGGTGAACAGCTTCTGCTTCTCATTAGTGATATGCTCTGGACCTGGGAACTTGACCTGCTCCAGGCTGACGGGACCAAAGAGCTCCTCCTGGTCAGGCATGGGGCCCAGGTCCCCATAGAAGAGCCGGCAGCCCTGAGGGTTGCTCACCGTCATGGTTTGCCCATACTCCTTCCCACGGTACTGAAACTTGATGTCCAAGTCAGTCACTACAAGGTGAGAGATGACAGTGAGTCCTGTTGTTCTGCTTTGTCTGTCCATACCTAACTCATCTGAGTCCACCAAGATTAAGCCATCTTTCAACCTTTCAGGAAGGCCATTGTCACAGTTATCCTTCCTGCAATAAAGGAAGATGTCAAAATACCCCAAATTGGTCACACAAAAGGATGCCTTGCAGCAGGCTTAAGGCCTCCTGCTGTACTCTCTGCTCAGTCACCACACCCTCAGGGCTAGAGTCTAACTCCATACACTGATGATCCTGGTATCCCATGTCACACCAAATTAAAGATACACTGGCAACATTTGAGGGGTAATGGGTAGCTACTGGCCACATGTGTCTACTAAGAACACATGTAATTAATGTGAACAAAGTATCTATTTGACATCAATTTATTTAAATTAATAATCCCACACAGCTAGTGGCTACTGTATTATGCAGCATGGAAAAAATGGTGTTTATTGAACAGATAGAAAATGACAATACCATCATATCTCCAGAGAATGGGCAACAGAAGGAGATAAAAACTAAAGTGTCTGGTTTGCATTTCACTTTTTTTCTGAGACAGGGTCTCATGTAACCCAAACTAGACTTGAACTCAATATTTAGCAAATAATGGCCTTGAACTCCTGATCTTTCTGCCTATAGTTCCTGAGTGCTGGGATTACAGGTGTATGCCACCTTATCCGATTTTATTTAGTGCTAGGAATCAAAACTAGGGCTTCATGCACCATAGGCAAGCACTCTACCAACTGGAGAAACAAGAAGAAATACCAAGTCATCCTTCTGAAAATCATGCATACACCCTGAACCTGTTCTACATGTACTATAAAAAAGGCTCACTGAGAAGTACATTTTCACTCAGCAAGTCTCACCTGACCCCAACAGGCCTCATCAAAGCTACTCAGCCTCTTAAAGAAGATTTTAGGTTCATGCCCCATCATGTAGAGTGCAAAGACGGCAGGGCAGTGAAATTGACTCATCAAAACGTGTACCTAATTCAGAGAGTCCCTAAAGTTCCTCAAAATCAAGAGCCTTGGTGACCAAGTTCATGGCCTAGTTACTTTCCCTGTCTCACAGCACCTTGTCACTAAAGCCCCAAGTCAAAACAACAGGAATTGGCCCGAAGGTCTTACCAATCAGAACAGCTACATGGGCAAGAAGGGACGGGCAAGCATTCCTTCACTTCCCTGATAAGTCATCTGACAGCTCACAAGCACACACAAGAGAGCACATGGGCTGGACAGGTAGCTATTCTAGACATAGCAAAAATGAAGGCAGAAGAGCTCTGGGGTGTGACTCAGCAACATGGTGCTTGCCTGGCATGCAAGAAACTCTAGACTGGAGGTAGGGGGAGGTGTGGAAAGGAGAACTGTGGTTGGAATGTAAAACTGAAATAAAAACATTTTTAAAATGGGGGGAAAAGAAGTCCTAGTTTGGTTCCTTGCACTTTAGGAAAAGAACAGAGGAGGAAGTGAGAGACAAGAACGATGATGTAATAAGAGATGAATCCCCAGCAATAAGAGGCAGACTCCCTTACTGGGGAGAGAGCTGATCCACAGCTCTGGAGAGCTGTAGAACGGCTGGATGGGTGCCTGGGGTACTTCCATTTCCAGAGGTTCTGTTTTGGTCCACGCTGACTCAGGGCTGCAGTTGCCCACACTGCAGTTGCCTACGCTGGCTGGGGCCATGGGGGAACCTAGAACAGAAGAAAATGAATGAGCACACAGGGGCACAATGTCACCTGTTCTGAGGAGCAGAGTACAGGTAAGGTCGGTAGACAGGAGTCACTGAACCATAACCTGGTATGATCTCCCAGCCTACCACAGATCCATGACTCATGACTCAGTGGCTATCACAGCTCCCGCCTCCTAGTCATTTTATTTCCCCATAAACTCATGGCTCTTTATTTGCTAAAGATCAGATGGAGACAAGGGAGTTAGTCTGGAGATTGAATCAGAAAGGCATGACTGAAAGGTGTTCTGCTGCTTAATCCGGTACACAGTGGCTCGATATCTTCATAAGGGGAGCACTGCACACACAGTGTGTTCACAGTGACTCATCAATGTCTTCACAGGGGGAGCACTGCACACACAGTGTGTTCACAGTGACCCAATGGCTTCATAAAGGGAGCACTGCAGACACAGTGTGTTCATGGTGACTTGATATCTTCATAAGAGGAACACTGAACACACTGTGTTCACAGTGATTCAATGTCTTCATACAGGGAGCGCTACACAGTGTGTACAGGTGACTAATGTCTTTTAAGGGAAGTGCCATTGACTCAGCCAATTGGCTTCAAGTTAATGTCAATGTACAGTCTTTGTACAACACAATGTTCTAGTAAAATAAATGTATTTTACAATCACAAACTGCCTTAAAAAGAGGGCTGGCTAGATAGTTCAGTCGCTTAAAAGCACTTGCTTAAAAGCCTGACAACCTGAGTTCAGTCCCCAGACCTAAATGACTCCTTCTAGTAGTCCTCTGACCTCCCATGCATGTGTGTGTGTGTGTTTGTGTGTGTGTGTGTGTGTGTGTGTGTGTTCCCACAAGCAGTAAATAAAAAATGTTAGAAAACATTAAAATGTCTGAAGGGGGGCTAGATAGATGGCTAAGTGGTTAAGAGCACTGGCTACTCTTACAGAGGGCATGGTTTCAATTCCCAGCATCTACATGGCAGTTCACAACTGTCTATAACTCCAGTTCCAGGGAAACCAACATCCTCTTCTGGCCCCCACAAGCACTAGGCCCATGCATGGTACACAGGCATGCCATCAAAACACCAACAAACATAAAATTTAAAAATAAAGTTTTGAAAAAAAGGTCTGAAAAGTATCAATACTTAAGAACCTAGCTAGATTTGTCTATATGGTGGATAAGCTAAAAGGCTCAGAGACAAGATACAAGGAAGGCCATTCAATTGATTATCCCCTTATACCATTATAAGTTGTAAAGCACATGTGTTACTCATTCAACCAAATCCAACCACGGCTCTTCAAGAAAGAGAATAAAAACCCTAGTCTTTCACAGGTTCAGTGGTGCCCATCTGTAGTCCCCATATCCAGGAGGCTGCCGCAGAAGGAGCTCTTGTTCCAAGCCACTCTGAACCACCTCTTAAAACCCAAAAGGAAAAGGAAAGGAAGCCCCACCTCTACTTCCTGCTGCCTACAGTGCTGGCTTGCCCAAAGCTCACAGGCTCCCCATAGGCCCCACCCCACCTCTTAGGCCTGCCTCTGCCCCAGCAGCTCTGGAATCAGGGGCTGAAGCTCTCTGACCCTCTGTGTTAAATATGAAAGCATCTTACATTTCTGTTTCTAATGTACATTCTACAATTTTCTCAGAAGGACTCTAGGTGGCCTGAAGCATGACGAAACACAGAATTAGCCTCAAATAAGAAGTCAGGACACTAAAAATAGATTACAGCCTTTCGAGAGATGGCAAAAGAATGAGTGAGCCAAGAATCTGGGAAAGGGCCCCACATTTCCAACTCTTTTTAACTGGTTTGTTTGTTTTCATTTTTGCTTCTCTTTGTAAAGATAGGCTCTCAGTAGACCATGCCTCCTGTCTCTGCCATCCAAGTACAGGAGTTACAGGCTTTTGCTACCACACTCACTTCAGACAGATGTTCAACTCCTAAAACTTCACTAAGTGAGAACCCAGCATGTGGTAATACTGCCTAGAAGGTCTCCATGGTTTTGGCCTTCTTTTTACAGATTTATTTGCAATATTTTTAATTGTGTGTATGTGTGTGGGCACATCAGTACAGGTGTCCAACAAGGTCAGACACACCAAATTCCCTTGAACCACATGATTGTGAGCCACCGGAAATGGGTTCTGTCAGTCACAGTGACTGGGAGCCACTGGAAATGGGTTCTGACAGCACATGTTCTTAACTCCAGAGCCATCTCTCAAGCTCTCATGAGAGTTTTCTTTATCCATCACTTGTTTGCAAAGGTCCAAAAGGCAACTAGGAGTGGTGACACACCTTTAATCCCAGCACTGGGAGGCAGAGACAGGTGGATCTCTTGAGTTCCAGACCAGCCTTGTCTTATGAAAAATTTAGGCCAGCAAGGGAACTAATAGTACCCTGCCTAGAACAAAACAAAGCAAAACCAATAACAAACAAACAAACACAAAAAGAAGGAAGGGAAGCCGGGTGAGCAAGGAAGGGCTGTGACTAATTCTGCCATTCCTGGATCTAAATTCATAGCTAGAATAAGTGACCCCAAGCCCTAAGGCAGCATCTTGGTTTACTGAATTTTCTAGGTGGCAAAAGTTATCTCATCTGACCCACTGCCAGTGTAAGATGGGCTGGTAGCCAGTCATTCAACTAGCCTCTCCGTGGGCAGACACAGTAAGGAGGCCTCAGGAAGGCAACCCAGGGTACGACAGGGATCCTCAAATGAGCATCTGCAGACTCAGACCCTGCTGTCACACAGCAGTCCCAACCTCTCCACTTCTGTCTTCTGGAGAGCCAAATTCAGAAGTTCTTTGGAGAGGATGTGCTACAGAGGTGACAGGAGTCTGTTTGGCAGGATTCAGGAAGGCCGGCTTCATCTTTTTTTTTTTTTTTTTTTTTAAACTGGCCTAAGCCTGGGCATATTCTCCCTAACATACTGGGCTTTCTTACTCTTTCCCTATAGTTCCTCACACTCCAGCATGTGGCTGCTTGTCCACCATGTGGCTGACCACCATGTTTGCTAAAAACTGCCAGCTCAACTCAAACAGCATGGCTTTCTCTCATCCTCTTCTCCATCTTCCTTCTGTCAAGATGTGCAGCTTGCCAGGGAGTTTTCTTTTAAAAGCTAATAAAACTGTCAAAGAGCTTTCAAAAGCAAAAAGCCCACGAAATAACACTCTTACAGATAAACCCACCAAAGCCAAGAGCCATCAGCTACAGTCAAGTTTTCCACGACATGGCTTCAGCAAAGTGGATTCTGTTAAGGACATGACTCAGAATTCATGCAAGGAAAACTACTGAGAGTTTAACTACAATCCATAAATGGGATATATCACTTACCCCTAAGTAAATTTCCCAAATTTATCACTGACCGGGAATGAATTACGCCTTTTTTATTGCTTTGAATTGCATGTCCTCTAGAACCCACTGTCCTGCACCGGAGTGGCTGAGGAATCAGAGGTCTCTCACCTGTGACTCTTGCTTAATAAACCCCAGCAGCCTGGCCAGGGGGTTTTGGAAGAGGTCACCATTACCCCCACCCAGCAATGGTGGCTGATGGGTCAATAATCCCGAGACCAAAGCCAGTTAAATCCTCCTCACCTCTATGCACCACCAGCCATCCCACTCACCATTGATGTTCAGGAAGGGGAAGGTGTCCTGGATGGGGACGTGGTGCTGCGACTGATCAAGCTCATCCTCCTCATCATCTTCATCTACATCGTTATCTTTCTCATCCCAAGGAGCAGACCCTGTGGACCCTACCCATGACATAAGAGCCCAGTTGGTTTCAATGCCATCTCAACAGCTGACCCAGCACCCAGGCTATAGACACCTCAGGCTCAGCATGCACCCACAAGCCCTAACTAATTTTAATTCCTTCTACAGAGTCTGAACTCAAGTTTCTTATCTTGCCAGGAGGTGTCCTGAGTTGAATTCCCAGCAGCTGCATGATAGCTTACAACCATCTATAATGTGATCTGACGCCTTCTCCTGGCATGCAGACATACATGCAGATAGAGCACTGTATACATGATTAAAAAAAAAAAAATCTTAAAAAAAAAAAAAAAAGAAATCCCTCTACTTTACTATAGCTACACAGTTGCTTTCTACACATTGGCATCTCTTTTAAGGGTTCCATAACGCTCACTTTCCATCCCTGTGAGCCACATATGAGGGAAAAACAAACCCTCCATCATGCTAGGGCCTCACTGGACGGCATTATGCATTGAGGACTGGGTGGTATGCTCTCAGCAAAGGTCCTCTACAAACTAAACTATCATTCACCCAATGTCTATAGAGATCACAATTGCTTTTACAGATCCTTTGAAAGAGGCAGAATGATGAGAGTTCACATCTAGAAATGGAAGAAACAGAGGCTCAAATGCCCAATAACAAAATCCAAGTCCAATAGTAGCAGACTGATAAGAGCCAGGTTTGGGACACAAGCCCCCTAGTTCTTACCCCTTTACCCTCAGATCCCCAGAGAGGCTGTCCTACCCAGGTCTATCCAAGCCTCGGGCCTCACCTGGGTTAATGACAGAGCCCTGGGGCTGGGGGATGTCACACACTTGGTAGATCTTCACAGGATTCATAGGTACTTCCTTGGTTCCATCATACATCAGGTTGAATTCCCTGCTTTTGTTGAGAGCACATCGGAGCTGAGCTTTCCATTTAGCAGGGTCAGGGTCGTCCACCCCTTCCTGGTACTTTCCAGTCTCCACAGCCCAAGCCTGAGGGACAGGACAGCGTTACGTGCTGACCACCATGGAGAACCACTGTCCAGCATGTATGCACCCCTTTTACATGTGCCCACATGTATGCACACACTTGCACATTCATCTGTGAATGCTCTACAATCCTAACACCAAGTCAGAGACTTCAGTGGACAATGCTGCCCTCAGGACCAACCAAGGCAAGTCAAAGGGAAATCAAGCTGTATGCAAACACAGCTTTGAAAGGAGCCTTAGTTCATTTAGCACTAGCACCTGTCTAAACAACAAAGCTGAAACTGAAGTCTGGGGCAATACTCCTGAGCAGGGCTTCAGGCAGGCTTTTTCTCCTCTTCTATCCCCATTTTTCCTTCGTTTTCTCCTCCCTCCACCTGTTTTGTTGTTGTCCTTTAGTTTTGTTTTGTTTTTGTTTTTTGTTGTGGTTTTTTTTGAGGGTTTGTTTAATATTTAATTTTTTTCTTTTTCATATTGATCCCAGTTCCTTCTCCTTCCCTCCCATGCCTCCCACAGACACCCTCCATCCCATCCCCCACCCACTCCCCAGGAAGGGTGAGGCCTTCCATGAGGGGTCATCAAAATCTGTCAAGTCATTTGGGGTAGGGCCTAGGCCCTCCCCTGTGTCTCTAGGTTAAGGGAGTATCCCTCCATGGGGAATGGGCTCCTGAAGCCCATTTGTGCACCAGGGATACATCCTGGTTCCCCTGTCAGAGGCCCCATAGACTGCCCAGGCCTCCTAACTGAGACCCATGTTCAGAGGGTCTGGGTCAGTCCTATGCTGGTTCCCCAGCTGTCAGTCTGGGGTCCATGAGCTCCTCCTTGTTCAGGTCAGCTGTTTCTGTGGGTTTCTCCAGATCCCTTTGCTCATCACTCCTCCCTCTTAAGATTTAATTTTTAATTATGTCTATTTGGTACATGGATATATTCATGTACGTGCAGATGCCCGCCAATGCCAGAAGAAATTGCAGGGTTCACTGGAGCTGGAGTTACAGACCGCTGTGAACTGTCCATCATGGGTGCTGGGACTTGACTAGGGTACTCTGCAGAGCGGCATGCTCTCCTCACCACTGAGCCATCTCCCCAGCTTTCCCCCACTCTCTTGTTTTTTGTTTGTTTGTTTGTTTGTTTGTTTGTTTAAGACAAGATCTCACTGTGTAACCCCATGCTGGACTCAGCTCCATGTCCCCCTTCCTGAGCCTCTATGGTGATAAATGTGAAGTGTGACCTGCCTTTTAAAACAAGAATCTCTTACACAACAGTAAGTATGGCAAAAGGTAATGATGGCAGATGACATGAAGACTTTCAGAAGCCAGGTATGGTGCTATCTGTCTGTTGTCTGTCTGTAATTCTAGCACTTGGGAGGCCAAACACAGGAGAACAGTGAGTGAGTTCAAAACCAGGCTGACCTACTTATGAGAACTTGTTTCAGTAAAACAAAAGTTTGATGGGGGATGTCCTTCTGTGTATATGTTTCTCTTATTGGTTGATGAATAAAACACTGTTTGGCCAATAGAGACAGGAAGATAGGTGCGACTAGGAGAGGAGAATTCTGGGAAAGGTGGGCAGAGAGAGACCATGGAGAGATGCCATGTAGCTGCCAAAAGGAGTAACAGGTCCAGGCATTCTCCAGTAAGCCAAGACCACATGGAAATATATAGATTTATAGAAACGGGTTAGTAATTAAGACAGAGCTAGCCAATAAGAAGCCCTAGCCATTGGCCAACAGTTTAATAATTAATATAGTGTTGGTGTGCTATTTTGGGGCTGAAGAGTGGCAGAACCTGGTGGGACAAGAAAAACTCCAGCAACAAAAATCCCTCAGGAAGCATGTACCGGAGTTCAGCGTGTCCCCCACCCCTACCTGCAGGCTTCAAGCTTTAACAAATTCACACAAATCTCCTCCCCCTTCATGGGAAACCTCATGCAGTGGACTAAAAACTACTTGGAAGCTTCCTCTCTGTCTTCTGGATGTAAGGACTCACATTACCACTGAAGACAAGAAGAAGGGGGTCATCTGCCCAGTGAGAAGAGGGAAAACCAAAGCCACTGAGAAACAGACCCAGCCCATTAGGAACATCCCATTCTCCCTCAGGCCGTATGCCCTCTGATACTAAGCTTTCTTCATGTTCTCAGTGTAGAAGAGACCTCATTAGAGGTCTGTCCCTCTAACATGAAGAGCACACTAACCTTTTGTAAATTTTTATTTTCATTACATTTTATTTATTTCATGTACATAAGTGGAAATTGGTTCTCTCCCTTCTATACCATTTGGGTCTTAAGGATCGAACTCGGGTCATGAAGCATAGTGTCACATGCCTCTTCCCTCTGAGCCATCTCGCCAACCTTCCTGAACCTTTTCAAATAGACAGGGAAGATGACTTGTCCAAACTCTTGCCACAGAGGACTATTTTTTTTTTCTTTTTGATTTTCTGAGACAGGCTCTCACTATGTAGCTCAGGCTAGCCTCAAAAACTCACAGCAATCCTCCTGCCTTAGCCTCCAGGGTGCTGGGATTATAGACTTGTACCGCCACACTAGGTACAGACTTTTTCCTTGAGCTGAAACTGAACATTTGCACCCTCTTTTGAGATCTCTGACCTCCCTCAATCCTGCCCTGCAGAGCAGCAGAGTCCAGGGTTAATCTAGGTCCTCTTCCTCTTCCTCTAACTCAGGCTCGCTTCCTCTACCCAACTTCTCTGATTTGGCTTCCTCTGTGCCCTTTGCAGTACAGGGTGAATACCAACAAAGCCAAGCTGCCCTGTGTGGTGTAGAAGGCATCAGGGAGGCCAAAGCTGACTCCATCTAATTCCCATAGGCATTTCAGTTCCAGTATCCATAGTATCTGAGATGCACACATGCCCTTACCTGGAGTGCCTGCCTACTGCCTCCCCTGTCTTCCATTGGTTTGTCTTTACCCTCTATTCACACTGACTCCAGCTCCACACTATTCACACTGACTCTGATTTCACCCTGTTCACACTGGCTCTGACTCCTCCACCCTATTCACACTGGCTTTGACTCTGCCCAGCTGACTCCAGCTGCAGATTCTGGAAGAATTCTGTCCATTTCTGTGATCCACCTAAACCCTGCTCCTTTCACAGCAGCTCTAGGCTAACTGTGTCCCTGCCTGGCCCCAGTTTCCAGTTCACACTCATCCGTCTCCTCATCTAGCTCAAGATAAAGCAGAGGGCTATACCCTTTATAAGCACAACTTCAGCATCAGGAATGGAGGGCCACAAAGCACCATGAGGACATAAGCCCCTGGTCATGTGAAGACCCTCTTTGCCTTCCTAAAACAGTTATCATCTTTACATTTTCCTCTACAAATATTAAAATATTCTAAACAAATATTATTTTCTCTACAGATATTATAATATTATATCATCTCTACAAATATCTCCCCACACTTGATTTTTCATGATAATTCTAAGAAGCAGACAGACTGGCTCCACCCCAGCTTACCAAAGGGAAAACTGGAGCCCAGAGAGGTTGCATGCTTTGCTCAAGACCTCCCACAGGGTTGGTAGTTATATAGATGGACAGCCCAGTCTCCACTCAGAATCAGAAGGGGGGAAAGGGAACAAAGACAGAGGCACAGGTTCAAATCCTAGAGCTATCATTGATTGACTGGACTACGGGACATTACTCAGCCCCACTGACAGCTTCTATAGCTACAACATGGAGTGGGAGGAAGACTTTCCTTGCATGGTCATCAAAGACTTAAGCAACACTGGGAACACAGGACCTGTTTTGTGCTGATGCTTCATTTTTTGTATCTCACCAAGAGTTCATCAAAGTATGTAATCTGTGGCAGTATCCTCTCTCTTCTGACTACTCAGATGCTCTGTGAGCATTCTACAGACAGACTCACCAATGCAAAGCTTCCTCATACTCTCACAAGTGGGGCTTGTAGGATAAGCCTCTTCTTTTGACCAACCAGACACTTCAAGAGCAAACTAGATTCAGAGCAAGGCTGCAAGGGATGCCCTGGACTCAAAGCAAGGCTGCAAGGGATGCCCTGAACTCAAAGCAAGGTTGCAAGGGATGCCCTGGTCTCAGAGCAAGGCTGCAAGAGATGCCCTGGTCTCAGAGCAAGGATGCAAGGGATGCCATCAGGGTCTAGGCAAGTTCATCACTTTCTCAGTGCCAGCTCTACCAGTGATGGGCACTGGTTTATAAATATTCTCCTTAACAATTTCATAATATTCATATCTAAATTAATTATGTATCATTTACATTTACATAGTTTCAAAATACTCTCAAGCCAGTTCTCTCTTCGCCTCTCCCCTCTACACCTGACATAGGTGGGAAATAGCATGATCAAGAGCCTTTTTCCTGATGCCAGTCAGGACTGGATCACAGCTCAGCCTTCCAGTTTATACACAAGGAAGAAAGGACAAGCTCACTTCACATCTTGAGCTGCAGGAACTAAAGCTACTCCTGAGATAGAAGGGAGAAGTTGGTTTAAAGTGGAGAGACAGCTCTTGGAACTGCAACCGCAATGAAACTCTTCCATAACTCCTGCCTACCTACTTGTGTCTGAAGTCAAGCTTTGGTTTCACTTAGACTTAGTAAAGTACTACATGACTTAATCTCATCTTCAGTTAACTACAAGGAGGATCACAGAAGAATTACTTTCTACATAAGAGAATGTAACTGAGGCTTGGGAAATGTAGCTGGGTGGTGACATGTATGCTTTGCACGTACAAAGAAAGCCCTGGGCCTGATCCTTAGGAATGAAAAATAAAAGGTGAAAAAACAATGAGAAGAGGAGTATGGGGAGAGAAGGGGAGGATAAAGGGGAAGGAAGAGGAAAGGGGAAAGGAGAAAGGAAGAATAAAAGGCTGGAGAGATGGTGCTGTAGTTATGTGCTGCTCTTGCAGAGGACCTGAGTTTGGTTCCCAGTACCTACACCAGGCATCTCACAGCCATTTGTAACTCTAGCTCCCAGGATCCAATGCTTCTAATCACCAAGGGCACCTGCACATACCCACACAGAGATAGTACCCCCTTCCCATACACTCACATAACTAAAAATAAATCTTTACAAAAGAAATAAAAATTTAAATCATGAACCTTTAATTTTCAAGCAGAGGTTATTAGTGGAACAAAATATTTAAGATTAAAAGGATAGCTTCCTGAGTGAAGGCCTCTGCATATTACCTTATAGGCTATATGCAAGCCCAATGGCAACCAAATGCCCTGACCATGTCAAGTCAGCCATTCACAGGCCCAAGTACCTTTTGCTTCATGGCAAGAGCCCTGGGTGAGTGGGTGGCTGACTTTAGTTCTTTTGGAAAAGTCACATCCTACATCCCCTGGGAGTTGAGTCCCCAATACACCATACACACACACACACACACACACACACACACACCAGATCCATTGGGGTATGAACTGAGTATCTTCCAAACAATGGGAATGTAAAGGACTTCAACCTCATAGACACATCTTGAGGAGAGGAATCACAATTTGGGCATCTCATTGTATACATTCCACTGCACCAGAATGCTGCAATAGACAAAGCAAACAAACCCAGAATGGCCTCAGAGGACTGGAAGGAAAACCAACTCAGATGGCAGGAGGAAATTCTTTACCTTAAAAATGGTGTTTTCTTCCTCTTGTTGGGGGCTGTGCCGTGTGGCATGTTTCCAGGGGATCTGGAAGCGTTTGGAGTCTCTGTGTAGCCAGATGAGACCAGGGTAGAGGCCACTGTCTACCTGGGCCACCAGCCAGGGCTTTAGCCGAACTCTTCGAGGGTGGAGGGCCATGATCTAGGAGTAGGGAGGATGGGAGAATGCAGTTAGCCACTGGGAACATTCCCAGCCACTGGGAACATTCCCAGCCACTGGGAACATTCCCAGCCACTGTTCCCATGTGTAGTAGCTACAGTTTCACTAGATTACAGCAAAGAAATTAAATATGGCAATAACCTGTGCCAGAGAGAGGAAAAGAAACGAGGTAAAAAGGGTTCTTTTGATTCTTATTGCAAAGCCATTTATATACTTCATGCTCCAGCCAAATCAGACTTATCATGCGGACAGATCACATTTCTTCTATTTAAGTCCCTAAGTGGAGTAATGAAAAGGTGATGTCACCTGTGCTGCAACAGAGCTTCCTGGGAGGTGTGGGGGAGCCTCGGCAAAGGAGAGGTGACTGCTCTTTTCAACCTCGCCTCAGGAGAGGGAAGTAAAGCTTTAGAAACAGAAAGCATGTGGGCCAGAAGCTGAATGCAATATCTTTCCAAGAAGACAATGGAAAATGAGAGAGAAGGTTCCTTGAGAGAAGCAAGTAAGGGGCGGGCCCTGGTTCCAAAGTCCTCCCTTACACGTGTTAGCAGGCAGTCCCTGCACGGAAATCTGAAAAGTTGGGCCCAGCCAACCTTCCTTTCTCTTGGCTCCTAACAAAAGGAGTCCCAGCTGGTCTCCAGTGCCTGAGGTACAGCTTGGGAACATTCCCTCCCCCCACCCCACCTCCAGGTGAGCCTGGTAAAGCCCTAAGAAGCTCTGCCATAACCAAATCCGTGTCACAGCCAAGCCCTGTGCAGCTAGGCTGGTCTGACTTGGGTCTGTTTATCTCCCTGTAGAGGCTGGAAGAAAGCAACTGGTTCCAGGCGCCAGGCTGGGTAAAGTCTGCAATTGATTCTCCTAGAAACATGGACGCCCTGCAGATAACATTCTACAACAGCCAGCACTCACAGCCCAAAACAAAGGCCTATGGATCCAGTGCCAGAGGGAAAAGTCACTTGCTAGAAAACTGTCTGCTGGCGGTGCTATGTTGGGGTTTTTTGGATGCCATCAGGTGTGTTCAGAGTAGTAAGGCCATAGACGCTTCTGGTGTTTTAGTGTCCTTGTTTTGTTTTTACTTAAGACAGAAAGGGACACCTGGGAAAAGTAAGTCATTCTACAAATATTTGTTCACTAGCAGCCTTGCGCCAAGCACTGTGTTAATTACTAAACATCGCTCAGTGTTCTCAGCCCATGTCCCTTCCTTCTTGAGGAAATCTACACTGGAACTGTAAACCCCATGATGGCCTGCAAATGCTACTCTCTACACTCCAGACACCCCCAATCAGGGTCACAGTTCTAAAGTAAAGCCAGTTGAGCCACCTGAAATTGCCTTCAGAGAAACCTAGCCATGGGTAAACCGCTAATATCTCTTCTTTCCCTGGCCAGGTCCCCCACAAATACCACAAACAACCCAACTCAATTTCTGGCACTTTAAGAGCAAGGTAGGAACTGAGCCTTCTGACCCAGTTAACAAGTCCTGCAACTGAAACCTTCCCCTTGGAAGCACAGGTTTCTGGGGCAGTTGAGCAGGGCCTCCTAGAGCCTTTGCTCTTGGCCCTGGTTTGGGGTGCTTCACAGGGCATCACATGGAGCCATTAAACAAGAAAGCATGTAGACATCTTATGAAAAGGCATTACAAGACAGGAGGACTGGGAGATCAAGGCCACACTGGGTTACATAAGATGCTGCCTCAAAAAAAAATATTTAAAAGGAATCCATACCCCATTAGCAAGTGCTGCCTTCTCCCAGGTTCCATTACTGCTAGAAGATGAGACATGGACAGGAGAGTCATAACAAGGGAGGGGACAGCAGACCTATTAACCTAACTCTGGGCTCTGAGTAGTCACACTGCTGTCCTAATAAGTCCTGACCCTGGGTTTGTCACACATGTGAAATCCACCTCTTGTCTGGCCATGTACCTAAAGGGCTTATCATAGTTGATTCATGGCCATCAAGAAGAAAAAGAAAAGAAATGAAAACAACCAGCCTATGATAGCAATCTGCACCAGCAAGGCAAGAAGATGAGCCACCCGCGGACACTGGTGACTAAGATCTGCATCTGGATTCTCCATGTTCTCCCCAGACAAGACCACACATGTGTGGCCCCTCAGCCTGCCCTCCTATGCCCTACTTCCTTCTCTGCAACCCTCTATGCACTTCTAAAAGTCAGACAAGAGATTCTCATCTGAGATTCCTAAAACAGGTACGGGGGAGGGTAAAAACAGCGAAGATGTCAGAGAGGAAAATGGTTTATTAAACTAAATCTAGGGGCCATGAAGCCTACAACCATGACATACAGCAGTAACACACACAGACAGGAACTGGAGAAGATATTGAGACACAACGCGATATATGTAGTGATTGCCAGCACTTTGTATACATCTCTATATGCTTTTACATATATTATCCACATTATGTCTCAATTCCTAATTATTTTTAAACTGCAGCAATATTTTTTCTATGCAACAGGACAATGACACTGTCTTCCGCATCAACAAGGCTTTACAATGTCACCTGTGTATTTCACCCTCAGGATCCTAGAAGCAGTGCCAACCCCATTCACAGCTGAGTTAACTGAAGCACAGAAATATTAAGTGTCCCCTACCTTACCTCTGTGTAACACCAAACCCTGCCATTGTGCCCTGCACCCTAAGCCCCCTCCCCCAACCTTCTTCTACACATAAGAGATCAAATCTAAACCAGCAAGGATCTGGTAGAGGACCCACCACAATGTGATGAAGAGATTAAAGACACCCAGTCTTAAACACACCTATATCACACCTCTCTCTAAACCTTCATGCCACTGAGCCTGAGCCCTGCCATCTCCAGCTGCGACATGAAAATGAAAGCCCTGTGCCTCTGGCATGTAGGAACCATCCAAGTGACAAAGCTACTACCCACCTTCTCACTGTGAGCAGAGAGCAGGGGCACTTTCAGGCTCCCCAGGGCACTAACTGTCCTCTCCATGCCTGTTTCAGGTGCAGGTTCTTTATAGGAAACATTCCCCCACTTCTGCAGCCCCTGCTGAGCCAGTTTTAGGGACCACTGACAGACCTCAGGCTGGAAGGATGTCATGGTTCTCAAAGGCAGCTGTTGGGGTTGTCCTAGTTTCCTGTTCTCCCTGATGGGGAACTGAAATGCCAGCTCCGAGAATTTTAGGTTCTCGGGTCACATCCTCACTTTCCCTCCTCCTTGCAGGGATGGAGTTGGTAGATGGCAGGGCTTAGTTGTGACACTCAGATCTAACTAGCAACTTCACCAATCCCTGCCCCAGCACCTTCGTCCTCTCGCTTCCCTAGCTTCCATTTTAATACCCACCAAGAGAACAGGGAAGGGCTGGTGATGATTCTACCACCAAGCAGGCTCCTGTGAAATACTGCAGCCCAGGCCTCCCTTCCAGGCAAGTATGGAAGCCTTTCCCTGCGACGCCTCCAGCTCCTTCAGGCCAGGAGGGCCTCACCCGCTGAGCTGCCACGCCTGGCGCCACCCTCCCCAGCACCTAGTTTGGCTACCTGGAACTACACCGACGTCGCCCAGGCAGCTAAGACACTGGGAAAAGGGAAAACAAACCCGCCAAAGCTCTGGGTCATCCTTATCCCAGTTTTCCCTAAACTGCCACTAGGACCAAGGGCCTCAGGGCCTGGGAAGTCCCCGCTTGGGACACAGAAGCAAGCTAGTTAAAACCGGAGGGGTTGGGGTGGGGGATGCCTTCACTCCATCCAACTGCGGAGCAGGCGGGGCGGAGAACGAGCTCATTGCGCGGCAGGGCAAAAGTGTCTCCATTCGGTGTGAGATCAGGAGGGGCCCGGTGCCGCCCGGTGCGACAAGAAGAAGGGTGCCCAGTACCCAGCCCGGTGTGGGACGCGAAACAGTCCCCAGGCCAGCTCCTCCGCCCACGCCAACTCCAGTGGGCCCGGCCCCACCCGTCAGGTGTCTCTCCTCGCTCACTGTGGCCTGCCGACGCCAGCGTCCCCACCTGGCCTCAGTCTGTGTCCAGGAGCAAGTGCTCAGGAGTCACGCCGCAGCAGCGCAGAAGTTCCCCCGACGGCTAGGCGCTCCTGGGAACCGCCGGCTCCTTGGCAGCCCGCACAGGCCCGCACCTGCCCACCTAGGTGCCGTGAGCTCAGCGCCTAGCCCAGGACGCGGCAGCCCCTGAGCCGTCTAGCCACGCCCTCCAGGTATGGCCACATCCCCCGGAGATCAGGATTGGCGCATTACAAGAAATCTGATACTCTGCGTTCTTGGGCGGCGGGCCCCGCCTTGCCTGTTCGTCACCCAACGCCCCTGCCACCGACGAAGGGAGCGGTACCTGCGTGGGCCTCGTCCTGCGGGTGTCCGATGGTCCTGGGGACCCGGGAGGTTAGAAGGTCACGTGGAACTAGGAGGGCTTCGCCCCTCCCATAGGGACCCTGCAGAAGAGGGTTTTGAGACTGGTCCCCACAGCTAGCTCAGGGAACTTCTCAAGTGGACTCGGTTTTGAGAAGCTAGGTCAGAATCTGTCAATGCGGCCTCTGGGACTGCCTGCTCCACCTTATTTTCTCATCTATTCAAAGGCCACTGGAGACTTGGGCTCAACTGTCGGGGCTTCTCTTTCTTTCTTCCTTCCTTCCTTTCTTTCGTTTATTTATTTTGTTTGTTTGTTTTTGTTTTTTGTTTGTTTGTTTGTTTGTTTGGGTTTTTTCTGAATTAGATTGCTAAAGGTGCCTGGTCTCGCGGGTGAAGTGGGCATTCAACAAGCGTCCAAAGTTCATTGCATTCTCGGTTATTATTGCAGTGAGGATGGGATATCCCACCGTGCCTTGCAGAGGTGTCTTTGCTGTCACCTGGAGTTCAAGTCCTGTATGCCTGAAGAGTGTCACCCACCTGCCCCATCCATAGACCACCTGTGGAAGCAGTGTCCAGCCCTCACCCCAAATACAGGAGATGGAACGTAGGCAAGGCACTTAGGAGAAAGGTTGTGGATTGAGCTCCTTTGTTGAGTGTTTCCCTAGTATGTCAAGGCCCCAAATGAGAACCTCTGCACTATCAAAAGAATAACAGAAATGAAGGACATCCACCACTCGAGAAACTAGCCCGATACTGCACAGTGTGAAGGTTCCTTTTAACTGTAGTCTGGACCAGATGACAGGCCTCTGGGCACGTGTGTGTTGGGGAGGGGGTAGTGTAGATCAAGGTTAGCCTCTGAGAATGTCTATGAAGGATTGTCCTGATTAAACTTACTGATGTAGAAAGACCCA